CTCACAGAACAAAAGACAGCAGCAGGAGCAGCCGAAACGAAAGCAGAAGGAAAATGTCAGCAGATGGCAAAAGAGACGTAAACATAATTTAACTACACTTATGTATGGTGCGTCTGTGTGGGTGAATGCATGTACATCGTACATGCGTGAGGGTGTGTTGACATGGCAGCGATAAGACTGAAAGATAAAGACATTGTCCGACCGCTCGCTGACTGTTTTAATAAGCTGATAAGATTGTGTGCTTATGCTTTTTTCACTCTGGCTTTGCTCTGTTCTGTTTTCGGTTTACTTTTTATCAAGCTTGACAGTCCGTTTTGCAATACATCCGGCAGGCAGTCAGTACACACACACACACACATACGTATGTACCCTTTGGACACACACAATAACAAGTGTATTTATGACACTGCCGTGTTATCAAAAAGGTACTTGACGATAACCATAGCTTCGCGCCCGCAAACAATTCAACAAGTAATACACAAGTAGAGATATAGTGCCTCAAGGCCCAAGGCTGGAGCTAGAGATGGAGAACTGGAGAACAGTTCCCCCACCAGAGTTGACATTTGCAGTTCAAACCGGTGAATGCGTACGTCATGAATGCAGTCCGAACTAGTCCTTCAGCCATTGACGTCATCGTTTGGGGCTCTAACTGCTTTCGGGTGGCGAGACCCGGATTCTCATGCCTCGGTTATTAAAGATAACTTAATATTTGTCACCAAAATGAAACGTCACAAGACAAAGCTCCTCCATTGACGTATTTATATTATTCATAAAAAAAAATAAACAAGATACTGATAGGTCATGGTGATTTAGGAATTAATAAGCCATGACTTGACACAAATATTTTCAACTTTCAAGTGTTTGTTGGGAGAGATAACCACTATACTATACTATATATTTCCTTGTCTCTGTAACTTTTCCATAGCTGACCATATCATATCAATTAAGTTACGATAAATCACCCACTGACGTAAAGAAAAAGAACACTAACATTATGTATGAAAACATAAATTAATGTTGATTTCCCCATATTACGTAAACAAAATATCGGTTTGTTTAAGTTTGTTTTCGATTCGTTCGGTTTCTTTGTGTTTTTTTTTTTTATCTGCAAATGTGTTTTATTAGCCTCCTATCCCCCCCCCCCATACCCCCGTCGATCACGATCTCGATCTCGACTCGATAAATTTCAACATTGATATATATTTTTGCAACTTGGCGCTGAAATCAAATAATCGATCGCTACTGGATCAATAAATACCATATAGACGCGAAGAAACACACACATAATATAAGCCACCACGTAGCCTTATTATTCGAGTGTATTTAAAAAAATCGTTTTTTGGTTTATTTTCCTTGAGTTGTTGGATTATCAAGTTATGTGTTTTGATTTTCAATCGATTACAAGAGCTGATTAACAAAATCGAGACTCGAATCGATATTTTGTTGATCAGCGCGCCATAACTCATAGACTATGTATGTAAGTTCATTGTGTGACCCACCCACTGAAACCACCCCACTCTCAATACCACTCAACGTTCGATTCTCGTTGCGAGAGCAGCCAATGACCTGAGCGAGGAGTCCACAGAGTTCGAGTTGACGCCGGCCATCTACTATGGCGATCGGGAGGTGCTCGTGGGCGAGCCCTTCGCCATCACGTGCATCATCTCCATTACGGAGCAGATCCACTGGCTCAAGAACGGGGAGCCGATCACGCGCCACAATCTGCGGCACGGGCGGGACGATCACGCCTATGTCCTGGCGGAGAGCGCCATCGAGGGTGAGTATATTGTGTGAAGGGAGCAGGTGGTTTTGAGGTGGAATCCCCGACTGACTTTGTGACTCTGCTTGCTGCCAAAGGTGAGAAGCACAAGATTGAGGCGCACCTGAGCGTTCGGCACGCCCTCAAGGTGCACGAGGGACGCTATCAGTGCAACCATCGCCGCGGGAGCTACCACATGTTGTACGTAAGGGAGACCAAGGGCAGCGGCATACCCACCGAGTCTGGCTACCAAACTATCGATGAGCTGACGCCCAACTCGGCGGATGATTTTTTCACACGGACGTGGCTAGAACAGCAGCAGCCTCAGGCGCCCCAGATGCCCCACCAGTCCCATAAGCAGCACAAGTCGCACTTGGCCTATACCAATGCCAGTGTCTCCAGTGCCATGCCCTGGCATCCTTCGGCGGGAGGAGGTGGAGGAGGCAGCGGCAACAACAACAACAATGGTATGATCCATCGGGTATACTCGGCCACACCGCCAGACTTTCCACCACCACGCTTAAATCTACTGGAGCACACGGTGGCGCCGCCAGAGCCACCCACCATATTGTACAATCAGACGCGGCAGCGTCCCACTGCCACCGCCAGCGATAGCACCACCACTGCCATTGCCAGGGCCACCGAAGCCAGCCTGTTGCTGACGACGGCGCACCACCACGCCCACCACCAGCAGCAGCAGCTGCAGCAGCAGTCGCAGCACACGCTGAACGCCTTCCAGCTGCCACTGCCACCCAGACCGAACCCGAATCTTGGCCAGAGCGAGAAGTACCAGACATATGCCCCGCACTTTGTCCCGCCAGCGGTGGGAGGTGGGCCGCCATCCGGCAGCGGGGAGCAGACCACCATATCGGCAGCCACCAGCACAAGACCCATGATGGGTGGTGTTGGTCCGGGTGCGGGTGGCAGTGCCGGTGCTGCTGGGGGTGGCTCCGTGATGATGGGTGCTGTTAACCACATGATGATGGGTGGTGGTCAGTTACTTGAGCCCTCCCAGACGCTCTTGCCTATCAAACAGGGTGAGCCACTCATACACAGACACGAAAACCAAACACATGAAGACACTCTCACACCCACACACAGAGACACGCACCCAGACACTCACTCACACACACAATTACAGTCACTTATTAATGTTCTACTTGTAACTTGTCCACTTTGTTGTTGTTTGCTTTTTGGCTTTATCTCGCTCGCGCCTCTTGAAACTGATAACGTTGTAATTGTTATCGTTAAAAAAAAAACCATAAAAATTGCAAAAAAAAAAGAAAATAAATCAGCCTTGTTCCCATTTTCAATTGTTTGCCATAAATTTTATAGATTTTTAAATTAGTATTAACCGGTTATTAAGCTTTTTTTGATGTTTTTTGGATAGAACTTAATTTTTGTACCGGTTTTACTTGTTCTCTTACTTATGTACTCCTACTCATTTAAGAGATTTAATTACCAAAAACAACCGTTAGAGTTGAAAATGGGGACGCGGTCATGTGTCATCCTGCAATCGTTGCTCCTCCATTACCCCCCCGCTATTGGTCTCTTTCGAACTGCATTGAAGACACCACACCCAGCTCATCTTGCTCGCTCTCTCATTACCCGCTACCCATCCCCCACTCGCCCCCATTCAGCCTTGCGCCCTTGGTCTTACGCTCAGTCAGTCCGTCTCTCTCCATTGCATTCACCTCGCTAGTCTAATTTCGATGTTGTTGTGGTTTTTAAATTAAACGTTAATCGCCCGCCTATCTCTCGCCGTCTTCCTCCTACCCCATTCGTTCAATCAGTCTGACTTTGACAGCTCGCTGTTGCTCCTTCTCACACACAGTCACATAACCACCCACACCCACACTCACACATACATACATATACCAAATCAATTTACACCCACATACGGTCACACCTTTAAGTTGAGCTTGAGTTGTTTGCTTAAACTTTTCTTTGTCTTTTCTGCTTATTCTTCCTCTTCGTTCTTTATGCAAGCGATTACTTTTTCTTGATTTCATTTGTTGTAATGGCAGTAGTTGCTTTTTTGCTTTGTTTTTCTCGCTTTCCTTCGAAAGTCTCCCCAGTGTCCCCGGCTTTGTTTCTTTTTCTACTTCGTCCCTTTGTCGCTTTGGTTGTTTACTCTGATTGTTGAACACACAGGCTGGCAGGTGCACAGCAGCGTCAATACCGATTTGATTCGACTCAACTCAATTCGATTCAATTCAATTCGATTCGATCCGATACGATACGATACGATTTCAATTTCAACTTGATTGGCAGCCAGTTGCGATGACGCATAACTTTACAATTGGCAGCGTTTGGCTTACGAGCTGATTACAAATCAGTGACTGCCTCATATGGCGAACAAAAAAGCAAAACAATCGGCACGTGATGAGTCGCTGATTCCCACTGCCTTTCTCTTTCTCTCTCTCTCTTCGTTTTTCGCTGTCTTTTCAAATCAGAGTTGCTTTTTGGCTTTTTGCTTTTTGATTGTATATCGATAGAATCGATAACATATCGCATTGTGTAGCTTTAACTGTACATGGATTAAGTATAAACTCTCGCTCTATCTTACATTGCAGCTAACTGTCATGAATAAATTATCCATAATTATATAAACATACCCAACCGATGGAACATAATCGTAATTAATCAATAAAGTAATCTCAATTGCAGCGTAATATGAAGTTTATTTGATTTCAGTCCAAGTTTCAAAATAGTTCTTAAAAAAATGCGTTTTTTATATGCGTCAGGATCAATAAAATTCGATTGACACCAAAATGTATGCTCTTTTATTTTATTTATAAGTACATTATCTTTTAGTTATAGTTTTAGTTTTACGAATACCATTTTTTTTATCCTTTGCTCCACCTATTATTTAGTCTTATTTAGCCACCTTGTGTGTTTCTATATTATTATTATTATTATTATGATTATTACTCTGCTAAGCAATTTAGAAAGTATCCAAAAACCAAAAAACAAATTTTAAAACTTTCATTGTTTCGCAACATAAAATTTAACCAAAAAATCTCAGACTCTCAGCTCCACCTTACCTTTCATACTTTAAGCTCGAAACTCAATTTATTCCTATAAGCCATACATATATTTATCTCCATATACTAGTTTTTAGAATAAACTTTAAGCAGTTCTTTACCTAAACGTTTTCTTGTATCTGAAACTTAGAATGATATTCCGCCTTCCTCTTAATATATAACTAATCCCTTCCATTCGTCTATACCATCTCCAGATAAGCTGGTGCCAAACTATGACAACGTCGAGCAACAAATGAAATTCTACGAAATCAGAACTCCGTTGGTGCTCAGCTGCAACGTCGTGAATTCCGATTCGAAGTCTCCACTTATATGGTAAGTCACCCTTCTCCCAAAACTGCGCTATGGATGTGGGATGTGGGATGTCTGGGATGGGCTGCTTCCCACATAGTTAGTAGTTATAAGAGCAATCATTTTAATACGGCCCAGCTAAGCACTTTTGCTTAATTATGTTGGCCCGACTGCCTAACTGACTGCTTGACTGACATAACCTGGTAACAAGACTAGAGAATAGCTCAAGCCGAAGCTTCAAGTATCCTGACCTCTTGAAATATGAAATGTTTTCTAGACAGAGGTTAGTAATATCTTAAAATACATAGTATTCTTTATTATATTTTCTAAAAACGCTCTTTTTTTTTTTTTTTAATTTCCTTACAAACTGCTTAGATTAACATACATACCCTTGAAAGGGTATAAAAAGGTCCTATTTTGTGCGAGTGTTTATGGTTGAGTGGGGTCGGATGGGCTTGGTGGCGCCTCTCTGGGGGGACGTGGTGGTTACTGAAAAGTGCCTTCCTGTCTGGGACTGGCTAGTGTTAGTAGAAGCTTCAAGCTCTGCGACTGGGTTTGGGCCTGGGCCTGGTAATGGTAATGACACTTTTGTTCATTCCGGGACCTGTCCGGGTCTTTGGTTCTTGTTCCTGAGGCCAGGGCCAAACTTTGCGTGCGGAATTAGTCTTTGAATAATTGGCAAAAGGAGCTCAGACCAGAAGGAAGGCCTTGAGAAAGTGGCTTTCTCTGATAGGTACAGCATGGCCACTCTAACGATAAGATTAAGGTCCCTCACAGAGTATAGTATCTAAGCAACTATCATTTCGTTTTAAAGGAAAAAGAACAACACCAATGTGATGGAGGTCGATTCCCTGAAAGGTCGTTTCAAATTAATTGAACCCGAGAAGAAGTTCATCATCGAAAAAACGGATGCAAACGACGATGGCACATATAGTTGTGAGTTTGAAGGAGAGTCCAAGACTTTCAATGTGATTGGTAAGTAGAGACTAGTTCACAAGTATATCCATGGATCTTAATTGGTAATTTTTATGACCTTTAGCCAAAGTTGCTGTACGAGTGCCTTCAAATACAGCCGTTGTGGAGGGTGAGAAGATGTCGATAACCTGCGTCGTTGTGGGAACCGAACCACAATTGTCGTGGTCCTTTGGTGAGTATCTATCGGATCGATCGATCGATCGCAATGCTAACTTGTCCGATTTCCTCTCCACCACACAGGCAATCTAACGCTGACGAACAGCACAGGCCGATTTGTCCTGAAGGAGGACAACAAGGTGCCGAACGCCATCCTGACGCTGGAGAATGTGACATTAGAGGACAGAGGCGAGTACAAATGCATTGGCCGGAATGCGGCCAATGAATACGGAACGAAAATCGAACTCGCCACCGACACCTCAACTGTGCGTGTTAAGGGTAAGTTTGGCTCGGAATAGAAGGGTCTTCACGGCCACCAGTCACCGGCCACCGGAAAGACTAATGTCGCATTGCTTCGTCATTATAAACGGATAGCCAAAGGTCCTGGCCAAAAAATGTCTCTAATGGCTGGCCAGGCCTTGTGCCAAAAACGTAAATGACAAAGCTTTGGAGATATTTGGCAATTTTTTTGAATATTTATTCGATAATAAATAATAATAATGTACCTTTTAGGCAAATTCGCCGCCTTGTGGCCTTTCCTGGGCATCTGTGCTGAGGTGCTGATTCTCTGCGTCATCATTCTCATCTACGAGAAGAGACGCAACAAGAGCGAGCTGGAGGAGAGTGACACTGATCCTCAAGAACAGTAAGTTTGTGCCTTCTCTCCAAAACTCAACCAACAAAACACAAACCTACCAACCAACCAACCAATACCACAACCAACCACCAACAACCAACAACAACAAAACAAACAACATAAACTGTCAACACCAAATATTATTAAAGGAAAGAAAAGATCAAGAAACAAACATCCAAAAAAACATGAACGTAGCAGCAGAAGAGGAAAAGCTATATACTGAAATTTTAGTTATATACTGCAAATTAAAGACGTTGAAGCTGCAGGCCCATATGCAGACTAGACACCACCATTACCACACAACTACGCTGACGGATCGGACGAAAAGCCACGTACTTACGGACGTACTGACCACCACACGGACGGAGAATGAGCAGCAGCAGCTACAACAATTAGTGAAATTTTCTTAGTTAACATTTTCTAATAGTTACCGAAATGGCAAAAAAAAAAGGGAAAATCGATGAATTTTTGTGTTTGACGCAAACCGATACGCGATAATTTAATGATGTTAAGAGCCTATAGTTTTTGATAATTTTGTATTATAATGAAAGTTGTATATGCCAATGCCTGGAGCGTCGCAAAACTCGTCAGAGATACGAATAATCGTGAATATCGTGAATTAATTAACGAATCCCAGGAGAAGTGAAAAGTCGACACAAAACCTAATCATTTAGATTTCTAATTTCTTCAAAGTGTGTGCTATAAATTCGACAACAAATATGTATATGAGTGATCGGCATATTTGTTTCGTCGTCCAACTCTGACAAACACAAAACGGAAACGGAAACGGAATGAGAAACAGAAACGGAACCGGAAACACAAAACGAACGCACACAGACATAATACTATCTACATGCATACATACAACCCCCAAAACACACACGCCCCAAAATTAAAACTTAATACAAAATATGTAGTTCTATAGCTATAAATACTATAATTATAATTCATCGTAAATATGCCTTATAATTTCTTGCTTTCTTCAAATCGAAAATTCATTTTTTTCGCTATGCTTGTTTCTGTTGCCTAAAAAAAAAATTAGAAAAAAAAACTATAAACACAAAACCTGAAGATAATAAAAACATAAAATTGAAACTTTTCTTATATTATGTCAAAGTCCAGTCCATAATATTATTATTATTATTACTATCATGTAAAAGAATACGACAAGAAAATGTTATCAACTTTGTTTTTAAGTACTTATTGTTTAATAATATACATTAAAAATGAAAAAAAAAAACAAAACACAAAAACAAATACAAAAACACCGCAAAAGAAGCAAAAGTTTTCGTTTTGCTTTGGAGGAATATGAAAACAGATATAATCGTTACTTATGTATATTAAAAAAAAAATCACCTATATAAGCTTATTAATTTCTTGGCAGTGAGTCAAACATACATGCGAACACACATAGAAATGTTAGCTCAACACTTTTGCATTGATTTGGAATTATAATTAGAATTATATTTGTATATTGTACACAACAAAAAAAAAAGAGTATTTTACCCCAAACCCCCAAAAGAAAAAAAAAAAACACGCCCCTCAGTACCGCCCCCTCTACTTTGCGCACTTTACGTTTCATTTTTGTTGCCTCCGTTGATTTTTTTTTGCTGTGTATAAACCTGAATGATTTTTAATTCTTTGTATCTAGTATCTAAAACACTTGTGCTATTGTTTACCGATTATCTTATCCATTATGATTTTGTGCGTTTTGAGATTGATTTCTACCGAAATATAAAACCAACACCAGTAAAAAAATATATAAAAAATAAAAAAAACAAAAAAAAAAACAAAACAAAGTACCAAATGGCATTTTTATTTTAGTATTTAATTTTTTAACTATTATTTAGTTGAATGTACAACCACCCTATCCACCAATATTATTGTTTTCTTAGATACACTGGTCTCCCTAAATTACAAATGCTTGCCCGCCTGCCTGCCTGCCTGTCAAAAAGGATATGCTATTGAATATCCTTCGAGTATTGTAATTATTTCGTTGATTTTGGTTTGCTGGTTGACTTTTGATTTGCTGAACTAGACGGTATTTCTGGTATTTGTGTGACTGTGAGTCGACGAGACTCGTTCAAGTCGATACTAACATGGAAAGCTAATCAAATGTCTTTTACCATTCTTTTCCTTTTTTCCCCATAAATACCTCAAAATATCCACATATATGACTTCTAAAATAAACCAACATTTCTTTTGAGTAGTTGATACAATTCACTCTCTAGTTAAAACTAAATTGTTAGAGAAATCACAGACAAGAAAATAATCACAAATGGGAGAACCTGCCGCTTGATTCGTTCGATTGATTGGTTGACTGTTTTTCCGCAATCATCATTAAAAAAAAAATATAAACACCAAACCAAAAAAGAAAAGAATTAATCCAGAAATAAAACTCGCCTTTAATCAAATCTCCATCAAATCCGCCTTGACTTGAAAACCGAAAACCGACGGCCTCAACAACCATTCTGACCTACTCCAAAATAACATCAACAACAACAACTACTACAACTCCAATTCCAACAACAACAATCACAGAAATAATTTATTAAAAAAAAATATAGTAATAACAAATAGATGAAAAGCAAATCTGAGCTGCAATAGTAACAACCTACAGCATCTGTAACTGCAACCACCAAAAGTAGCCTAATATTTTTACTAACAGTGTACTTTCATTTATTATTAATCATAGTTTCATTTTGTATTGAAGCATAGCCAAGTTTATTGATTGATTGATTGATTGATTGATTGCTGCTCTCCCTATTGAATACAAACTTTTTCAGTTGAAATATTATTTTCGAAAATTCGTTGATCTGAAATACCCAATATCCCGTTTCAAATCACCAACATCTACCAACTATAAAAAAAATCAAAGACCTTACGAAACTAATTCCATGGATTTTTTGCGATTTATTTCTTTATTGCAGGAAAAAGAAAAGGAGAAATTATGATTAAAATTCCTAACAAATGAAAAACAACACACCGTATTACAAGTAAAAACGTAAAAGATAAAATCACTTTAAATATGAGCAAAGAAATAAAAGTAAAGAAAGCGCATTGAAACATTAAATAAACTGAAAAAAATGAAAAAAAGAACAGTCACAGGAGCAAAAGTTGTGTAAACTTCTCACCGCCACCCACTCACAGTACTGTACCCTCTACTGAATCCCCCTGCGATCCCTGTCCCCACTCCCCAGCAAAACTGCAAAACTTTGTTTAGTGAAATTGTATTTTAATAAACCTAAAAACAAAAAAGCAAAAAGATTAAGGGAAAACAAACAATTAATATTAACGAAAAAAGGAGCAAGAAAACTAAAATATTATTAACATGGAAAGTGATAGCAGTTAAACGAACACTAAAATGGGAATATTGGTAAACGATAACAGAATAATGGAACTTTAGCAATTAACTATAAAGTCGCACATGCCACGCCCCCATCTCCCTTATATGCCCCATACCCTGATACCCCACATGCCCCACTAAGAACAACTTCAAATAAATATTGTACATAACCTAAAAAGTTGAACAAGCTATACATAATTGATGGGAATTATCCTTTCCCAGTACTGTACTGTAAACGCAGCCAATACTCTGTCTCTCTCTTTCCTAGCAAAAAGGACTCTTTATAAACTTATGATTTTTAGGTAGCCATATTTTCAAGTTAGTTTTTATTTCATGTTGGGGAAAAAAAGAAGGAAATAAAATAAATAAAAAGGATTGGCAGAAGCAGCAACTACAATAAGCGGATGATGGAGAAAATGAAGGAAAGGATAAAGATGGCGCAGCGCAGCAGTAGCAGCAGCGGCAGCGGAAGCGGAAGCAGCAACATCGCATCTGCTATCGATAATTGTTATCGGAGAGGATGTTAATGGAAATTTTGTTTATTTAACTTAGTTAATACGGAATAATGAAAAGAAAATGAAAATGAACTTTTTAAACAATTAAGTAGCGCGTTATGAGTATATTTTTAAAGGATTAATACCACAACTAGTAGCTGATGGACGATGATGAGTCGGGGTCGAAGTCGAAGCAAGAACATTGTATATTGCATAATTTAAGGAGGAAAGGACGAAAAAGATCAGATGCGTACTGCCAAAACTTGTAAAGTTCAGTACTATTTGCTTAGCCTCATTTTTGGTAAACAAACAAAAAACTAAAAAACCAAAATCAAAACAAACATTAAAAAAAAAACAAACAAATTGAATACATAAGGAGCTCTGTTAATTGATTTCTGTTGTTAATTTCGGTTGTTTATGTATAATGTATGTATGTGTATAAAAAATCGAAATGGGAAAGAAGCAAAGCGGTCTTCAATTCACATCTTAACTCGTAATCATACACACTATATATATAATTAATATATATGTTTATAAATATTATATTTTTTAATGTTTTCATTTTATCATGGTCTTGAAAAAGAAAATCATAAATATGTCGTATGGTATAACTGTAATCTTGTTTCAAATTTGATGTCAATTTTTTTATTTAGGCTTTTTTTTTATTTTTATTCATTATTGTGAACTTTTTGTTGTTAATTTTTTCGCCGCCACCAAAGCTTTAAATATTTACATAGTAAACTGTGTTCTCAGTAAATGATGATGAATTAATATAATATCAAATTATGTTAAAGGATGCAAAACGAGACAATTTGTATAGTAAACTAAAATGAGAATAATAAACGGAACCCCTGATAAAAACAACCCAAAAAATAAAAAGTTCTTGTTATATATAAATAAAAACAAATAAACATATAAATATATATATATGAATATATATAATTGCTATATATACATATATTTAAATCACGTGTGTGTGTGTGCATGTTCGATTACATAGTTATATACATATACGAAAATTATGAGAAAAATTATGAAGCGAGGGAAGGTTTTTCGAGAGATGACGAAAAAAAAACCTACAGAGGAGACTTTTTGGAAACCGTCGATAAATTCTTGTGCATAAGTTTTTTATTCATGTACAATTGTTGTACAGTTTTTGTGGCTTATTTGTGTATAACAACAACAACAACAACTACTACTACTACTATTACTATAACAATATATAGATTGATCTATTTATGCATAAATGTACATTAAACTGGACACTCACTCTCTCTATTATTTAATCCTTGGTTTCGAAAATTGGCAAACTCTGTTTTATTTATGGTTTCGAATTCTGGGTTTTGGGTTCTATCCAAAATTCCCCAAACCAACTTTTTTGTCCACCACCACCACCACAAGCACACTGAAAGAAAAGAATATTGAAAAAAGAACCTCTCTGAACTGAAAAGCGAACCCAACAACAGCAACAAGAACAACTGCTACGATACCTATTTACTGCTATATTGTATGACGTAATGTTACCCACATCAACAACAAGAAGAACAACAACAACACACGTAACTAACCTAACATCAAACCAAACCAAAATCAAGTTCGGAACACTCGTCAAAACTATTGCTATACATATACTATATATATACAACAATACTAACGAAAAACGAACTTATACAGATATATATACACCTATATACAAGCAACTACATACGCAGTATTGTATGTCCTTTTTGTACAGATAACAAACGACAACAACAACAACAACATGAACATAAACAAAGCCTGACAAACAAGAAACATCAACAACAACAACAACCGTGTATCCTAAACAATTCCTCAGATATCAGATTAAAAAAAAAATACTGTCTCGTACGACTCCCTCATTTGTACTCCCATTTCTACGTTTTCTCCAACTGATTTAGGACTCCTCCTGGTCTCCTGACCAGTCTAACATGGCTTATCCAACAATTGTTGTTAACTATCGAACAATATAATCAGCAAAACAGAATTTCTTGGCACACACGTTTGACTCTCACGCATTAGTCGCTTTTTTTGGGCAGCAACTAAAAGTGAACATCAAATGAAGCTATAAGTTAAGTTACAAGAAAGAACCTTATATATATTATATATATAAAAGAAAAATATATACATAAATAATGCTAATAATAATTACGCGTAATTTTAATTAGTCAAATAAGCCAAAAAGTTACAAAATAAACACATACATACATACATCACCCAGTCAACAGACTATGCTTGGGCGAACTTCAAAAATGGTTCTCTAAATTAGTTAAATCTTAAAAAAATAATAGACAAGTTACTTATTCATTATCTCAAGTCATTTAATTTAATTGTTTTTTTTTTTTGTAAGGGTAAGAACAGTTATGTTGGTAATAAGCCTAAAAGCTTTGTAATTTAAACCAGAAGCGCCTCTTTTCAAAATTTTCAAACAATTCCAATCACTAGTCAACTCTGCAGATCACTGGCAAGTCACACCTTTCGTATGAGTTCCAGCTCTGGCTAAGAGCTATGACTTCCATTACAGAAAGTGTGTCTAAAAGGCAGTAAACTATTTTTTTTGTTTTTTTTTTTGGCCTATAAACCCACATCTAAACTATTTTGTTTTCCGCAGAAGCGTACAGATTATTGTAAAAAAAAAAAATACAAAAACAAATACGAAAATCAACTGTAGGAGAAACTGTAGGAAAACAGAAAATTGCCTTAGGGTTTCAGTAGAAATATTTAAAAGCAAAACAAAAAAGAATTAACAAATTATTTACCTTTTAAATCATTTCCCTTATCGGCGGCTTCGAGCAAAATGTGTGACTTTGCCTTAATATGGGGGTGTGACATCAACGCCTGCATGAAACACTCTATAAACCAATTATGACTACGGGTAAACACAGATCACCATAAAAATTCAAGAACCGCAAACCAGTTAAGTATTCTGTAATCCCAGCTAGTAACCAAATGTCGAAAACAAAAAAAAAATTAAATAAGTATAAAACATACACACACACACTGAAGCTGTTGGAAGTATGTGGAATCTTTTTGGGATGAGCATAGCTATTAGCGATTCCCCCTAGGAGAGTTAGAGAACAAATAAATCAATTAAGTGCCAGTCCTCTCCCCCCCTCCCCTGCCCCTCCTCATAAAGGATACATTACCGGAAACGAGCTCCAAAACATATTCCAGCCCAAAAAGAAGATTCCACCTACTTTGATATGCTTTTGCGAAAAGTCTTCAACTAAAAATCTAAAAAAAATCTTAAAAAGAAAACACAAAACTGTTTCAAAACGCTAATCGATAAACTATGATTTTTAGTTATTTATATGAATTACATATATACATACATATACATAGATAAAGATAATTAAAAAAATTGAAATTAAACTATAACTAAACATAAATCTAGACAGAATACAAATCACAAACAAGTCAACAGGGCACAGCGCTTCTTAACTATGTTAATTTCGAAAAGCCGAACTTTTTCTAAACCTAAACAAAACCAAAACCAAAAAAAAAAGAAAGAAAAACCAACGCTAATCTTAAAACTATAACTAACTTTTTAAACTAATATTGAAATTGAACCCAACAAAGTGTTCATTAAACTAAAAAAAACCAAATAATTGCATATATACACCAAATGTATAAGTACTTAAAGTTAAACTTAAAAAAACATTTTGTATGGCTATGGCAAAAATAAATCCGAAAAAGCAAAAAAAAAAATATTTAAGCAGATGATGGAGGAAGAGAACCCAACAATTTAGATAAGTAATTTAATGTAAAGAGTTTATTGAATAAATTGAAAAAAAATAAACAACAAATCTTTCATCAGATTTCTAACGAACTTTTCGAATTTCCATTAAGAAGAAACTGCGCTCTTTACGCCTATCTACCGAACTTCTCTATACATAAACATTATATGATATAATTATTATAAATATAATGGAGGGAAACCAGCCCGAAAATCGAAAATCGAAAACCTAAACCGAAAACCGATACTTGAATACCTACATAAGCATACACTTGTTTTTAGCACTAAATTTAATAATTTTGCGTTACTTTTGTTTTAAAGACAAACAAAACTAATTAAACCAAAATAAATGAATACATACATACTATATATACATACATACATAACATATATATAAATAATATATATAAATAGAGTTTTTTAGATTGAAAACCCGAGAAAAAGAGAAATCCAAAACCCAAAACTGAAATCTAAACACTCAAAAATCTCGTCTCATCTCATGGATGTGCTACACTAAATTAGTAACTAAAACTAAAAACTAAAACTACAACTAAACTATTGTTAAACCGTAAAACACACGCATACATACACACACACATAAAATCCATTAACTAAATAAATTACAACAAAAAAAAGAAAACAACCAAGTAAAACTTCGAGAATAAGTAAAAAATTTGAAGCGAAAGGCTTTCAGTTAGAACTTGAAAACAGCCAGGATGAAAATTAGGTAAAGTTGGTAGCTAATCCCAGAAGAGCTAGGAAGAATAAAGGAAGAAATTTAATCCACGCGAGGTCGTTAGTGCAGTATAATAATAAAAAACAAATTGTATTATATCTAAGCCCGAGAAAAAAATTAAAGAAACCGAAGTTAAACATAATACTACACAACAGAAACAGAAAAATGGTTAATTACAAGCGCTAAAAACAAACTAAATAGCTAATCCAAAACGTGAAGAAGATCCCAGGATGGCGGCTATTTAATAAAGTGATTGATAGGGCAGAGTTGAAATCCAACTTTCAGCTAATATAGATTAATAATAAAATCTGAAAAAAACCCAAAAAAAAAAAAAACAAATATTTTAAAGCAAGCGCTTGGATTGTACATTTTTACAAGGCAACTGTACATTAAGCGCCCACGGCATTAAGTAAAAAACAAAAAAAAAATAAATAAAACCAAAAAGAGTTGACAAGCACATAAAAAAATATACATAAAATAAAAAAAAAAATATATATATATATACGAGAGAGCAACAGAGTGTGCGGCCATGTGAGGAGCCCGACACACAAGGAGTTGCCTAGCCAGAACGGAAATGAGTTTATTAAATATATACATTTAAAAATTCATAAACAAAAAAAATCATGAGAAGGAAAACCCAAAAAATTCGTTGCATAATATTTAAAAACGAAGGTAGTATTAAACTCGATTGCCTAATTCTAATATTAAAACCGAAAGAAAACAAAACATAAACTATAAAAACATTAACATTAACAGTAATAATAATAATGAAAACAAGAACAACAAAAATGTTATTATACTTATTATACCGATTAAAATGAAAACAAAAACAGAAAACCGACAAAAAAATGAAACAAAACAAATTAAAATAAAAATTTTATTTAGATTAAAATCTTGGGTGTTTTTTGATTACAATACTAAAGGTGCATGGTAAGTAAAGGCTAAGAATATTACGCATACGCCGTGTATTACATGTTGCATATCAAGCATACGTCATGTATACCATGGTACTTATCACGCATACGCCATGTATGACTGCCGTTTTTTGGTTCTGAACAAATTGAAGCAAAATGAAAGCAAACTATTACCAAATACCGCAACGGTTGCCGAGCCAGTCGCCGAAATACTTTGGGCCAGATCCGGGTTCAAGGTGCCTTGTGGTTTAATGCGGCGGTGGGATGCGATAAGGCGCTAGCCCAACACGAGATGTGTGTGCTCAGGTAGCCGGCCATATAAAAACCTGTTGACAAGCACCCGCCCGTCCAAGTCCAACCATCCATCAGGTGTTATAGCGGCAATCTGACGTCATAAATAAACTCTGCTTATCATGTTGGTAATAATAATTTTTGCTTTATTTAAAAACGTCACTACAAAGTTGGTTGGTTGCATCATGGTTAAATGGTTAATATTTGATTCAGATAACACGCAAGTCGTTACTTTAAAATGCGCTACACAAATAGATCGTAGTTAGATTTGTATAAGTGTATAGCTATAGCTAATATAGTTCTTTGTCTTTGCGTCTCGAAAAGGTACTAAAGGAATCTGCTGTCTGCGTTTCCGCCGTCTGCCAAGCGTTTCATTAGGGTTTTATCTTGGTTATTTGGCCTCTTTTTTCGGCAACGCCGAGTAGACGACCTACTATATACTTTATAGCTCAACTACAAAATACTTTTACAAATATATATATACGCATAGGTATGTGTGTAAGTACATAGATGGTGTGTCGTTACATCTATGCAGGGTAGGGGCTAAGATTAACATACATAAATTATCCACAAAATAAATATATATATATATTCAAACGGTTCGCACTTAAACATCTAAGAAAAAACATCGCACAGCTGCCCCCAGCCAGGATCCGCGATCCAAAACTGGCTTTGGATCTAACTTTTGGTCTCTGGGTATCCCTAGGCATACTTTCACTCTTGTCCATTCGATTGTATTGCGTTGTCGTTGCTGCCGGAGGTGGTAAAGGTGCGCGGTGCCTGCAGGAGATCCGTGTACTGGAGCAGAGCTTCGCGCAGAGACCGAGACACCTCCGGAGACGTGGTTGTGGTACAGTCCACCAAATAGGGGTACAGGCCAATAAGCTGATCCCAGGCTGGCTTGTTAACTGTGTTTGGAAAGTGGATTAATATTTATACCATTTTAGGTTTATTTAGTTTTACCCTTTGAGGCCGGAGCTTTCTTCATGGACACAACGAGGGTAGCAATGGCTTTGAGCACAAAGGATATCTCAGACAACCGGAACCTATAGGAAAAATAATTTCCATCAATGTTAAACTATAAATGAACAATAAAATATATACCTGGGCAACGGACATTTTCCACTCTGGCGCTCATCATCATTAAACCGTTTGAGAACCTCTTGGAAGCGATGCAGCAGGGCAGTGACCGCTAGGCGGCCAGCAAAGTCCTTGCCGCCCAATCCTGCGGCGCCAGCAGCACCGACAACTGGCAAAATATTGGCATTAAGGCGATTGTTGTTGCTGGCCGAGGCCTGATCCTCCAGAAGTGAAAACTGCAGCAGGGTCTCAAAGCACGTCTTGGCAAAGATTTCCCGCAGCTTCCAGTCCGATTCGTAGCAGATATTCGTGTCGGATGCAGAGTGGATAGAGCCTTTGTTCAGCAGCACCACAATCTGCATGATGAACTGATGGGGCATCTCGTGGGCATACGGCAGAACCTCGTCCCGGAGCAGTTCGATCACCTGACAGTCAATCGTTTCGTCCAGGACAATCTCCTCCAGGCCCCTATCCTCCACTGTGCAGACGCTGGCCGGGAACAGGAATTTGTCCAATGTATCTGCGAGGTCGTCCCAGAGGCTAGTGAAATACTGAGGCTTGGCTCGCGCCACCTTGAGACCTGTGTGCAGCACTCCAATGAGACTTGAGATGGCCAGCTTCCAGGTGCTGGAGGACAGGCACTTGTACTTCATCGCCAGCGGTGTGCGCAGTGCCTTGACGATGTCGTGTAGGATCTGCTCCTGCACCACCGGCTCCTCAGTGGCCGTCGTCTGATAGAGCTTCACGGAAATACTGATGGACTTCTCGCCGAACGGTATGTAGTTCATGCTGACCACCTCAACGGAGGCATTGTTGGCATAGTGGCCCGAGGACTTGGCGTACTTGTGTTCGACGCTTTGCTGGAACGTAGGTGGGGCGCAGGCAAACTTGCTGAAGATCAGCAGCTGCCGGAAAATGGCGGGAATAAGCTGGCGGATGTGCGAGTCGGGTTTGGTGGCCTCCTATAGATACAAAAGTGAATCAATTAGGTACTGAGATTCAAACCCCTTCAAGATTCCCTAACCTTTTGTATTAGTTCCATGCAATCAAGGATGCCATCGTGCAACGGTGTCAGCAGTGTGTCCGAAACTGTGGACATGATGTAGGGCACTGCATCGGTTTGGACAGGAATGCAGACAGCATTCGTCAGTACAGTACAGAACTTGTCAAAGTCTTCCGCGCTGAATCTTCAAAAAATAAGCTCCAATTTAAAGACTTTTTCTTGTAGTTCAAAAGTTCACTCACTTGACTTGAATGTGCTGAAAGATGGCGGGGAAGATTTGTATCAGGGCGGTGAGGAAGGCCTGACTGGGAATGTAGAAGTCCTCTTGGTTGTCGGCTCCATTACTACTCTGTTGCTGCTGCTTAATGGTCGACGTGGACATTTTGGTGCTCTCTGTGCCGATACTCAACCAAATATTCCAGGCAATCTACTCAGGAAGGGAACATTTCATTATACATGATGGATAAATTATAGCCACTTCCAAATTATTGTTGCTTACAGTCCAGATCTCATCATCCTGTTCCTGTGACGTCTGTGGATCCTTCAGCGAGCGCTCTGGTCGCTCCGTGGTAGTATGGTACATGATCTCCTGGAGAGACTTGAGGGCTGCCAACGATACCTCGCCGTTCTTGCTAAGCGCCGCGTTCTGGATGAACTCCAGGATGAGAGACCAGGCCCGCTCAAAGTCGCCCAGCATCTGGAGCAGTTCCCGCTTGGTGTTGAACACCCGACATACGCCCGAAAGCGTTAGCACCTGCGTCTCTGCCCACTGCTTTTGGGCGGTGTTTCGTGAATGATGGATGAGAATGTTGCCGCTGGCGTCCACCTTCTCGTTGCTGGCCGAGCTGCTCAGAGCGCGGACGTTATCCAGCAGCGGGAAGAGCACCTGCCAGACCAGAGCCTGCCAGGTAGGCGGATTTAACAGGCTGCCGTGGGCCGAGATGGTGGAGAAGAGCGTCTGGCCGGCCGACTTGCGAACCGCCGGACGCAGATCCACACACAGCTCGCCCAGTTTGGCGTACAGGCACATCCACAGCTTGTCGAACTGCGGCATCTTCACCGTGCCCGGAAAATCGGGCAAGATGGCCACGTCCTGCAGCTGCGTGGACATGAGCTTATCCTGATTTTGATTGAAGAAATCCGAAATGTTCCACTGCCAAGATTGAATAAAAATTTTCGTTAAAATCATCAACAAAATCCATGAATTGAAAATCCTGAAACAGAAACAGTACCATCAGACCAATAGCCGTAAGAGAAATATTCAGCTCCTGGGTTTGGGATCCAAACTTCGCCGCTGTGCTGATACACAGGGGCAGACACCGCCAGGGCATCACTGTGAGAAAATCGGTGATGACCAACTGCAAACACTGGAACGCAGTCCGGATGAGTGGCTCGCCGTGATGTTCGTTTACAGCTCCTATGATCTCGATGATAGCCGGCCAGCCGAAGGAAAGAATCTCCCCCGCGGTGTTCAGGATCTGGAGGACGCAGTCCAACTGGCGTTGTCGTACGTCGGCGTGCAGGACAGTGGATAATTCAGATAGTGGGCTCAGGAGCATGGTCTGCAATTCCATATTCTCCTTGAGCGGCGTTTTGTGCTTGAACTGTAGAGCGGATTTGACCAGGTAGGTGATGGCCTCCACACCCCATTCCCGCATCCGTATGTGTCGATGCTGGCAGACTTCCAACAAGTGGTTGGTAAGGGGTCGCCAGAGGACCTTAATTCGCGGCATGTTCACCAGACCCGTCTCCAAAAGCTTGGCCACTGCGAATAGCGAGGGCTCGCGATTGGCGTAAGCCAGTTCCATAGCTTCGTGGGAGAGCTTGCACAGCGCATCGATGAGATGGTGGAGGGCCACATCGTCCAGGTACTGGCTGGACTCGAACAGCTGGCTCAACATTTGTGACAATACCGGCAGATCAGCCATCACGGCCGTTTGTATGCCCACATTTGCCTCAGCCGCCGGCTTGGGCATGGCCTGAAGACTGCCTCCGGTGGAGGGCTTTAGGCCCAGAATCCACACCAGATGCTGCAGGGTTTGCAACACAATGTGCCACGAGGTGCCCAGAATGCCACCGTTGTTGTGCGCCAGAAATAGGATGGCCCGCATGCACTGTAGGTTCTTGTTGGTCAGCATCACTGGTGCCTGCATCACGCTGTGCGGGAGTGAGGCCGACGGTAGTGGTGTGCCCACGGCCACGACATTGGGCCTAAAGTCACCGGAATCCCCGCTGCAGTTGTTTATTAAGTGGCTGCTCAAATCCTGGCTGCCGCTGCGAGTGTGACCTGCGGATAAGACAAGCAATCATATATTCCTAAAGAAAAATAGGTTAAGCAACAAACTCACATCTTAGATCACCATCTGCTTGTGTGGTATTGGCAAATATGGACATGGCATAGTGGGGCGGAAAGGAGGCTCGGCACATGGCCATTATAAAGGCATCACGGGGCTGCAGCTGCTCCAGCATACCACACAGAGCCGCGTAATTTTGCATCGCCTTGAGAATGTTCTCAGTGGTGGCCTCATCAATGGAGGTCTCAACCAACGGAATGAAGGCGCTGAGAAGGGCAGACCAGCTGGAGTCGATAAGCTGCAGACAGAGCGGTTTGTGCTCCTCTTCCGTAATTACGGCGGTGTTATGACTGGGATGCAGTTCCGGTGTGCGCGTAATGACTCCGCCAATGGAGCGGGTCATGTCCAGGAGTATGGCGTGACCCACGGAGATGCCATAGCTATCTGGTATATTTGGAGCATCCAGTTTATCCAGCATTTCCAAGCTGCCAAATACAAAACATATTGCTTGATATGCTCAAAGGGAAAAGGTCTTCGGAAACTTACTATACTGCCTTGGGCACTCCTGGGGCGAATGTGGCCACCAGCGGCAAGTAGGCTCCTCGGAACATGAAGCCGCACTGGTTGTTACCCGACAAGGCGGTCAGCGTGGTGGCCATTCCATTCTGCTGGCCATTAAGCATTGTCGAGGCGTTGAACAGGGAATAGCGAACATAGCTGCCCATGGCAGCAATCATGTCGTGGACAATGTTAGTGGCATGGTTCTTCAGATCGTATGACTTGCAGAAGAAGGCTATCAGCGAGGAGCGGGTCACAAGTTTGTGGATGACCTCCAAGGCCAAGGCGCGCTGCCAACTCGGCTTGTCCGGATCCAGAAACTTTATGATCAGGGATAGGAATATCTCGCACTCGGTGACCAGGATGGTGTGGTACTTCTGAATAAGAACAGCCACAAGGCGTAGTAGTCGCATACTTATCGGAAAATATGGTTTTTCTGCTGCGGCCGGAGCATTTCCGTTGCTGGGGGCCGGGAGCTGTCGGTGCTTGACGTTCGGGGAAAACAATTTGATGACCAGGGCGCATACCCTCTCCTTTAGCAATAGTCGGAAATCGTTGCTCTACAAAATGAAAGATAAGGTTTGTAAATAAACGGTTTCCAGTTAAGCAGCTTATAATGTTTGTATTGATTAGGTATCGATGACATCTTAGGAAAGCATACCTCGTGGAAAACTGCACTGAAGTTCGTAAGAACTGCCTCCAACAGCTCCAGGCCGAATGTTCGCGTCATCTCGGTCATGCCCACCAACCAGAAGGGCTGCTCCACGTTCACCAGCTGCACCAGGTCCTGAAACAGCAGAAAAGCATCCGAAGCAAACGTCTGCACATCCTGGCCACCGCCATCGCCTTCAGCTGGTGGTTGTTGTGGATGTTGTAGGCTGCTCACAGAATCCTTCTCCAGATAGACACGTTCAAAAACCAGGGACACCAACTGCCGGATTGTGGCACCGGCTGTGTTCACAATCGTGGGATTCTTATGGTAGTGCAACCGAAAGCACAGGACCAAGGCCTTGGCCAATGTGTCTCCATGCACCACGGTGTTGGTGGTCAGCAGAAGGGTTACTGTTTGCAGGACCTTAACCTCCTCTATATTGTTTTCCATAAGGGTCCACAGAGCGTTGGTGATGTACAGGGCGCCCTTTTGATCCACCACCTGCTGGGTGATGAGGCGTTGCATCATCCCAAGACAAAACTGAAACAAAAATATATATTTTTAATAAAATTTCACAAAATTGGATATTTAATTTTCGGTTTACCTTGATGATCTTGAGATCCTTTGTCTCGCATCCTTGGACGAGGGGATAGAGTATCTGGTTTACGGTGTAGTAGACCGAGTTCTGCTGGCTGCTACCGGCGGTGCAGAGCTTGGAAATAGCCTCCTCGCATGCCTGACGATTGATTTCGAGGGGGGAAACGGTAATGAAATGGAGAGAGTTAATAGCCATGTGAAAATGTCATAAAATCAATTTCATTTGCGGCTGCTATCAGTTTCATAATTGCGTAGAATAAGCACAGGTGGAACCAGAGCAAACGAATGCCCCACCCCCCACCTTACCGCCGCACCACCTTCCATGTAAGTGGGGTGGGTGACACACACATCGTGAGACATAATATAACAAATGCAAACCGAACACGTCAGCAGGACTTGCAGGCTTACCTCCTTGATCTGGGGATACTTCTTCTTGGTCTCCAGCGAAAGGGTCTTGAAGTCCGCCTGGAGTGCCTCGACGAACTTGTGGACATCCTGACCACCGCCCCCCGTGCCAACGAACGACATGTTTCTCTAGCTGACCCACTCAACTGGCTAGCACTGCGGCCCAATGACAAACGACACTCAGTGTACGGCAGGCATAACAATGCCCGGTGTAAGTACGGCGACCGATCAACGCTTATGCATATGCTCAACTCCGGGAAAAGCTTGGAAAACTGTAACAATAATACCGAAAGCCGTGAAAATTTGTGATTCGATTTGACAGCTGACGTACACAGTGGAGGACAGTGTTGGTATGCGCTGCGTGGTTAACAGCGCTGTTAACAGCTGTTAAATATGTAAACATTCCCATGTAAATAAAGTGGGTCGCAGGACAAAAAGGATATAATGCCAGCTTTTAAGGCTAAAAATCATAGTATTTCCAAGTTAAACCATATATATAAGTTAAGACATAAATAAAGTACATAAAAGAAAAAAATGAATGTCGAAAAGAATCAAAAAGCCCGCAATATTAAATATTTACAAACATGAAAGTATGTCGAGTATGCTTTTTAATTTTTGATAAAATTATTCAACAAAAATAATCAACATGATTATTATTTTGCTACCTACAGGTAGAAGGTCAATTCCGGATTGCATCCCCTGGTCATAGAAGGGAAATCCTTTGGCTGGGAGTTGGCGCTTCTAAATATGGCGACGCGCCTTGTGCGCTCTTTGGTACTCCTAGTCCTCGTCAGCCTGGTGGTATACTCATATATATCAAAACCTCGTAAGATTGTAAATATAATTCCGAAAAATCCAGTTAAGATCGATCTCTCCGAAATCATATTTGAAAAATCAATGAACGACAGTCTATTGACGGAATTGGATGCTCTCCAGACAACTCATTTTAGTAAGAATATAGTCATGGAATTATATATATATCCTGCATTTAATAATATTTACTTTCAGGCAACATAAATATCAAAATAAATGAATCTTTGGATGCAACTGCCCCTAAACAAATTCCTTTAGATTATAAGAACATATTGAACAATACCCTAAAGATCCATTCAACGGAAAAGCCTCGTGAGATATTTGAATATCCTTATTACCAATGTTATTACTCTAATATGTAATATATAATTCCAGATGAAAAACATGAAGATCTTCCAAAATCCTCACTTCAAATCATAGGTAAATTAAATAAAAAAAGTTTTTTAGGAAGTTTTAAAAAATTATTGCCAATTATAACTCCATTCTGGAGTAGGATACATAAAATAGGTTACGAGATCCAGAAAACAAAGGGTTCCCCCGATTCCCACCATTCTGCATCAAAATCCTGAGACAAAATATTTTTCAGATTTTTTTTCCATTTTTATGATGGGATCCCTTGAAAATGTGGTTTTCCCTATGTGGCCCACCGATATGGCTATATCTTTCCCAATTCTCATCCGATTCTCAAGCGGAGTACCTTAAACGATTTCTAGATCGATTCCCCACCATTCTGCATAAAAATCCTGAGGCAAACTATTTTCTAGATTTTTTGTCCATTTTTCTGATGAGATCCCTTGAAAATGTGTATTTTCCCTATGTGGCCCACCGATATGGCTATATCTTTCCCAATTCTCATCCGATTCTCAAGCGGAGTACCTTAAACGATTTCTAGATCGATTCCCCACCATTCTGCATCGAAATCCTGAGACAAAATATTTTTGAGATTTTTTTTCCATTTTTCATGATGGGATCCCTTAAATATAGGATATTTCCCAATATGGCCCACAGTGATGGCTATATCTTTCTCAATTCTCATCCGATTCTCAATCGGAGTACCTTAAACGATTTCTGGATTAATTCCACACCAACCTGCATCAAAATCCTGAGACAAAATATTTTTTACATTTTTTTTTCCAATTTTCGAGATGGGATCCCTTGAAAATGGGGTTTTCCCCTATAGGGTCCACAGTAATGGCTGTATCTTCCCAAATTCTCATCCGATTCTCAAGCGGAATACCTTAAACGATTTCTAGATTTCTCGATTCTAATACCTCAATACCTCATTGAAGCACTTTAAACTAATATTTTATGTTTAAATTGATTTTATTTTAGTTCTTCAGTTTTCTACATTTAGTAAAACTTGCAAATATTTTATCTAGATATAACTTCCGAATATCGTACAATCAGATTCTTCAATCCAAAAGAGTTTTGGGAGTATCTTAAATACAAACAGCAGGCCACCGATATCCCATTGGCAAGTGCCACCTATGAATCGGGTCACCGGGACAATGAGATTGATGCGGAGAGAATATGTCCCAAAAGTGGAGCTTTTATTAAACTCCTGGTGCTAATTACGTCGGCACGGAAGCATGAGGCACAACGAATGGCCATCCGGCAGACTTGGATGCACTACGGCAGCAGGAGGGACATCGGCATGGCCTTTGTACTAGGACGAGGTACTAACGCAACTGCAAATGAACGCCTTGATCGGGAGAATATGATGTATGCGGATATGATAAGGGGCAACTTCATAGACTCCTACTACAACCTCACCCTCAAGACGATCTCCGCTTTGGAGTGGTCGCTGTGGCACTGTCCCCTCGCAAAGTATATCCTCAAGACGGACGACGACATGTTCATCAACATGCCCAAGCTGATGACATTTATTGACACCCTTAGTGCCAAGCGAAGGATCTATGGACGCAGAGCCGAGAACTGGATGCCAGTGCGGAACAAACAGTCCAAATATTTTGTATCCTACCGACAGTTTACTGCAAGATTTTTTCCTTACTTCACCACTGGTCCTGCGTATCTTCTCACTGGCGATATTGTGGGCGAATTATATGCCCAATCTCTGGCCACTGCTTACCTAAAGCTGGAGGATGTCTTCCTGACTGGCATCGTGGCCGACATTTTAGGCATCCCGCGGGTTAATGTCAAGGAGATAGCCAACACCAATACGAAGGCGTGGGCCTGTCGTGTTCGTGATAGAATCACAATTCACATGGTGTCACCCAATGAGCAGTTTGATTTGTGGAAGAAGCTGTTGGACACTTCCATCACGTGTACTTAGCAAGGATATCCATTTTCTGTTTGTAAAATTTTCAAATATTTAGTCCGGAGATTCCAGTTGTTCATATTGCATTATTGAGATTCTAGATGTACAGAATGTATATATATATTTAAAAGACAAAATTGAATTGTAGATTTAATCTTGTTGTACAATTTTTTTTAAGAATATATACATATACAAAAAAACAGAATTTAAAGATAAAAAACTGTAAACAAATTATAATGGTACAAGCTATTAAAATATCATTTTGTTTACAATTTACAAAAACGAGTATTAATATCCTTAGCTAGCATTAAGCAGGAAGAATCTCCAGCACTCGCTATTGCAAAACGTGAAGATTTTCTGGAAGACCAACAGCTCTTAAAGAGCACTGGTTGCACGGTATGAATAAAATTTCTCGTTTTCCGACTCAATGACATTAAGTTTACCCTCCTTGGCCAACTTACTAAGGTGATGGTCTACATTGTAGGCGGCTGCGGGCCATAGATTTTCGGGGGTTTCTTTGTACACCTCCCGCACTACGTCCATGGCTTGCCACCGTTCGTTGGGCCGCTGAACAAAGTACTGCAGTATTTGTGCCTCTCGCTGGTTGCGATGGTTGATGTAGTACTCGATCTTGCCGATCGGTTCTTCGATGACATTACCGTGGCCTGGGAAAATCCTCTGCGGTTTGATATCCAGTATCTTCTCAAGGCTCTTCATGTACTCGAAAAGGTCCTCGAAAACGGCAGTTCCCTCGCCCAGGATACAGTCGCCGCTGAAGAGCGTGCCCTCGCTCATGGCCAGCACTACGTGATCAGTGGTGTGTCCGGGGGTGTGCACTACCTTAACCTTTGCTCCCTCGGTGGCAAACTCCTGGTTGTGGGCCAGTGGGTGCAGTTTTATGTGCGTCGGGATTTCGGGACACACATCTGGGGCGTCTGTTCGTCCATACTTGAACACCCGGCAATCGTTGTGAGCCAAAGCTGTGCCCAAGATGCTCTTCACTCCGCCAACATGATCGTGATGCCAGTGTGTCAGTAGGATGGTGTCGATGGAGGCCTTTTCCTGCTTCAATACATCGTTTAGATGCTCAATATACTGAGGCACGTCCTCGTCGCCAGTGTCGATCAGGATTCGCCGGTTGCCACTTCCCAGAAGATATGTGTTGGTTCCTTGCAGGGTCATCGGGCTGGGATTGCATCCCAAAATCCGGATAACGGAGGAACTGAGTCGTGTTACGGCAGGAATCAAGGCCATCTTGTCATTAACAGAACCTTGAGGAGATAATCTTAACGATGATTACTTGGCACAAAATTGTGATAAAATAAGCAATAATTGAGGGAATGAAATTAATTATGTTTCAAAAATACATACACAAATGGAGGACAAGGACAAATAATTGTAGTATGTTAATCTTATATATTTCTTTGCTTTATTCTTAATAGAAAAACATTTAAAATTTAAATTTTAGACCTTTAATATTGTGTTGATAAACTAGAATGAACTTTGGAAGCCGCTTGTTTGCTTTGGATTTGAACAGCTGGAAGGAACAGTGTTGTAAATGGCGTTAAATAGAACCAACCTAATAGCGGTATCTTAAAAAAGCAAATTTATTAAAAATAAATATGTACAATTAATTAAAAACTTTAATTGTGATTATAAATTGAAACTTATATTTAACATTAAAAAAATAGTAATATTTTACTTACACTTTGTATAAGTAATTAAAAAGTATAATAATTTTAATTTCTAAGAAAACAAAGAATGTAGAAGGAGAAATGATATTTTTTATCCTTTTTCGGACGAGAAGATATCGAAAGGACGAAATATTTTAAAACGTGTGATTCGTTCGTGTGATACATCCTTCGCATGACCCCTGGCCACACCAACACTCTTGAATATTGTCCAACACCAGCCAATTGCATACCCCGCATATAAACCTGGTCACTCTGTCACTAATGTTGAGCTAATACAAATCGTTGCGAGTGGGAGTAATGCATGGCCCACAAAAAAAGAGGAAAAAAAAATTGGAATACGTGCGGGCGCTGTAACGCAGCCCCCAAAAAGTGTGTGTGCAAAGGCAAAGCCTCAAAAGTGTCATAAAAAGGCAGTCAGGAAGGCTGCCACTCGCCGCGCAGAATAAAATTTGCGACCGAAAAACTTAATCGAATGCGAAAATAAATCTGTTTCTGTGGTTGGTCTGTGGGTCCATGGGAGCAGCAACAACAACAACAACAAAACGCGACTAGTTTAACGCATAGTGGTACGCTGAGGCGTTAATGCTGCTTATTTATTTTTAAAACATGCTTCGCATGACTAATGAAACGGGTTGACGGGTTATTAAAAACGAAAATACTCGGTAAAGTCGGAAAAAAAACTCCCAAGGCTCACACATACATCTACATCCAAACAATATTTGTGGTGGCGCCTGGGGTCCAACAACACCAACAACAACAACAACAAGTACCATAAACCCAACAATTAGCCATCAAAAGGAGGATTACAGAAATACCAACAATATTAACAGTAAACAAACAACCTACAATTCATCATTGTTAATTGTCAACAAAAGGCAAAATTTATTAACGCTAACTAAACACTAAAAATAAACGCAGCCAGTCCCCAACCGCCAACCGCCAGCCACCAGCCACCCCAAGCCAGCAAGTAATTATGCTTGACCCTGGTCCAACAATAGCTATATCCGAATCCGCAGCCGCATCTCCGATTCCCGCAAAGGAGAGCCACCAAAGCTGAGGCGAACAAAAAAAAAATAAAACTGGGAGGTAAGTCGAGGTTTGTTGGGCCCGAAGACACCTAAAACCAAAGGCAACCAAACGGAGACAACAACGCAACGATGACGGTGCGTTGCCTAGGGTTTTGTTATTTTATTAACACACATCTACCGTGGTGTTTGGTTGGGCAACAATGCCACCAGCTAGCCGAGCCAAGTCGAGCCACTAGCGGTCATCACAGATTTCCAAATCCCATGGCCGGACATTGCACCACATGGCCGTGCGTAGTGAGATTTCATTAACACCAATTAACCAGTATCTCTCTCAGTCTTTGATTTGGTTCAGATTGGAAAAACCAATGCATACAATTATGTATCCCATGGCAATTATCCAATATGAAGAAGTAAACAACTGAGATCGGAAATAAATATTTATTTATTAAAAAAGAAAGCCCTTGAAAGTCACGAATATTTAATTAACATCGCATTTCTTTCTGTGATTTGTAAGTTTAAATTTTAAACTTTAAATATATCTATGAATTCCACTTCTCTTTCGTATCTGATGGATAGATTGTAACCAAAAAAGACAAATCACATAGCGTTACTTTGAAAAATCAGCAGAAAAGATTACTTCCGCAATAAAATTAATATTTGATTTTTTATTCAAATTACTCATTGTTTGGATTATTCTCTTCCTATACAAGGTATCATGACTCAAGTAATCCCCGCAAGGAATTCAGGACTAGTCCAAAAAAAGTGTCCAGTGGGATGCTGGCAGCTATGATTGATAGGAAACCAGCTGAAAGATAGTTTCGAGACGCCCGAAAACCCGTTTGCAGACTAACCGGCGATTATCTCCGGTTCATTGTACTTATTAGCAGAGACGTCCAAGTGGGGGCCACGTACAAAAATAAAGAAAAAAAAAAAAGCATAACCGACCACCAGCCAGATTGAAAGCTCGAACCCACTTCCGCTCTCCCTGGTCTCTCATTCTGCTCCACGGCCCAGCTCCACGAGCAATCTGGAATGGCTGTTTCTGGGGTTTCTGGGGAATTCGAGAGTTACACTCCATCACATTACAAGCTCTTGTCAAATTTCACGGCTCTTTGGGCAATTTCGCACACAATTACGAGGCAATAAAAAAAACAGCAAATGTCGGAACATTTAAAAAAATTACTCTCAAACAACTGGGAAAAAAATCAGAACAATTACCAGCTAATTCTAATAATTGAAGGCAGTTTAAAAAAAAATATTTAAAGGCCTAGTTTAAGTAATAAATTATAAATTGTAGCTCCATAGAATCCTAAAGGAAGTGGCAGCCCCGATAAGCGCCATTCGGCGATAAAAATAAAGAAAATTGTGTGTCAAACAACCCCTTTTCTAATAAAAAAAATTAGCATGACCTCGAAGGGTGAATCATCTTCTTACCGATAAGGAGCACTTTCACTTTTATTTAGAACAACAATGGGCTAATCTCTTATCAATCCATTGCACGTCACGCTGCGGCTTCCAATATACTACAATCCCCTTATTAGCTTTCGGGTTGTGCGTCTATTCTCTTGTTCAGCGATAAGCGCAGAAAAAAACACGATACCGCATCATCATGAGAGTAAATCTAAAAAAAATTCCATTATAATTGTACTCGCTGGCGCTTCTTGCCAGTTTCCCAGAAGGGGCGGTATACGAGCCCGACTAGACCGGCCGACTAGTCACGTCGATAGAGACCCCTCCGCTGATTAGGTTTATCATCAAATTTAGTTGATTACCCCCTAATCATCTGGTTGAATATTAATGCGAATTTTTGTTTAATTAAACATCCTATCCTGATTGTTTAATAGTTTGCTATAAAATTAGATTAGATTTAATTAAAGTATTTAAGGAGTGAAGAACCTGTATCAGAGTCTTCAATTGACAGAAGCTTAAGTAGCTTAAATAAAATGAACCCTAATAACCTGGAAGATCAATTTTGATTCCTTTTGTAATGTCCCCCAAGTGCTGTCTTATCGAAAGGCAATTAAGTTATTCCCAGTGACGCATTGGGGATTTCATGGGCAGCGTGTGACGGGTCGGAGTCGTAGCGAAAGTGCTTCAAAAATAAAGTTATGAGGGCCTGTCCTTAAGTTTTATTGATTTCCATAACGAACTGTCGGGCTCAGCCAAGTGGTTCTATTTTTATGACAGGCCCAGTGAGGTAGTTTCTTAAAATGAATATATACAACTTTAGTCCGCTCCTAAGAAATCAATGAACGTTGAGATTCGATCGCCCGATAAGCAATCTAATCGTCGGACCAAGACCAAAACCAAGACCAAGACACCAAGTGGCTCCCGGGGCCGCTGGTCAAGAGCCTGGCCGAAGTTTCTGCGTCGTTCTGTTCGGTTGGGTTTCTCTTCACATTTTCGGAATCGGGTCAAGAATGCTGTTGAGCATGCAAAGTGGATACCGGGCCCAAAGCGATGTCGTGACAATTCTGGATGCTGTCTGGTCGCTGGCCCACTCCCTGTGTGCGTGCTCTCCGCTTTTGGCCAATTCATTAGCCAAGGGAGACTATGGTGTGCTCCCCAAGTGTTTCCCCCCAGTCGTCAGTCGTCGTCAGTCTCATTACCATATAAATCACTTACCGATTTACTGGCGGTTTTTGTGCCTATTTTTTTAAGTGGCTTACTTAGGAGTAGGGTTTCTACATCTTGTGACTTCGGGCAGTGCAGTTCTGTAAGTGTAGAAACTTGCTATCAGTCTGTGCAGTCTGTCGTACACTCTCTAAACAAATATTTAGATATTTGCCACCTCCACCTAGTAAGGTGAACAATAAAGCTTTACCTACGTGAGCTTCGACTTCGACCTTTAGTGGTTCTATAATTAGATGGAGTTAGAAGTAGTAGATCTTATAAGTATATAATACAACTTTATATATGTATACTATATGTACTCTATACTATATACATGAATTTCTGTTAGGTTATCCAATCCCTAAACATCTCCCTCAGTTCCTGATGTGCCTGGTTCTGGGTATGGGAGGCACTTAACAAATCAGCAGAATCAGTTGTTTACCTTAATGTCTCGTCTGTTCTCATTGCAGTCGCACCGCAAACGTTGCAAAGTTCGCAAGCGTTCCATTCGTAACCGTAATACTCACAGATCTAAAAATATACAAAAAAAAGCTATAAACAATAATAATAGATCGAAAAAATTGGAGCAGAGTCCAGACTGAAGACCGAAACTGAGACTGAGATTTGTCGAGATTTCAGCGAGATTTTGGAGACTATGATGGCTGGCAGTTTGCACAACACGCGCATGCTGCGCTTCCTTTTGGTCCTCATCGTGGTGATACTCACTATTTTCATCTACGCCTCGTACTCGGCGACGGGGAACCTATCGCCGAACCACATACACCCAGCCGCGTCGCCGCCGCAGCAACTAATCGGCCAGCAAATACTCCAGAACGCCAATAGCACAGACAAGGAGTACGGCCACCGACAGGCAGCCACCAAGGAGTCTGGCGGTGGCAAGATAGTGAGCATAAAGGCGGCGGAGATCCATGAGATTCATCGAAAACACTCGCAGCACCGACTGCCCACCATCGACGAGGATGCCCTGCTCGACGGAGGCTCTGCCGGTGCCAGTCCCCAGGTGGGAGGCCCCGAACTGACGCCAAATATCATGGCGGAGGAGCTGCTGGAGGAGCAGCAGTATGGCCAAAGCGTTGATGGCGTTACCGGTGAGTCTACATGGGCTACAGACATGCGCCCTGTTATCGCGTCCCCGCTAATCATGCTAATAAATTGAATTGAATCCATCTGCAGGTAACATCAACAGCAGCACCAACAACAACAACATCAACAGCACTGGCAACAACACTGGCGACACGTTGCTTGTCAAACAATCAGTTCCTGTCCCACAACAGCAACCACCTCAGTCCCCGTCCGAGCCGCAAGCCCAACCCGCCCCACCCGACACGGAGCTTCTCATACCAACATCTAATTTACAAAAGTTCATCGAGAACGCCGATAAGATTCTGAAGAACATCACCTCGAGTAGCAGCAGCAGCACGGGCACTGGAGCTGTGGCACCCGCTACAGGAAATGACCAGAACACAGGTTGGAAGATTCATCAATTACAATAAATTAATTGATTTTTGAATGGAGTTGTCATCCGCGTCGTTCTGTTTATTGCGCCATCGCAGCGCCACGTAAAAGTCTAGCATTTGTTTATCAAAAAGGTAGTGCCGACGTCGCACCCATTTGGGTGGCTCCCCGGCGATGGCGCACATCGTGTGCAGTCAGCTAATATGGCGCGGTATCGTCTTTCATTATGGCAGCACTGTAAACAATCACAAGTACGGAAGCTATTGGGTTGCATCTGTCCGGTAACCATCTGGCTGAGGGGATTAATTAGAATAGGGTTTCACTCTGTCATTTGTGTTTATAAATTAAGGTTCTACGGCCAGCACTAAAGCGATTCTTTTGTTTCATTTTCAGAAAAGGGAAATCAACCGGAGGTGGTGCAGATGAATTTGGCGGATGGCAGGCTGGAAGTGTTTGAAGCCGAGTCCGAGAAAAAGGAGCTACAGCCGGCGTCGAAGGCGATCCAGGAGATCAAGGACTCAAAGATCGAGACAAAGTCTGCGAAACCACCAGCACCCATTGTAAGGACCACAAAGGGTGGCGCTGGCAGCAAGAGTCCGGCCAAGCAACCTAGTGCTCCCGTGGATCCGTCGAAGGGAGTGCCCACCGAGCAGCTGTATGAGCCAGGTCACCTGGACGACGAGATCGACGCGGAGCGCATTTGCCCGAAAAACGGAAAGTTTATCAAGCTTCTGGTTCTTATTAGCTCCGCAATGTCTCACGAGGCGGCTAGAATGTCCATACGACAGACCTGGATGCACTACGGCACAAGGAGGGACGTGGGAATGGCCTTTGTCCTCGGCCGGGGCAACAATGAGACTCTTAACAAGGCCCTGACGCAGGAGAACTTCATATACGGAGATCTGATACGGGGCAACTTTATCGATTCGTACAACAATCTAACATTGAAAACGATCTCGACGTTGGAGTGGGCGGATCTGCACTGTCCGAAGGCCAAGTACGTACTCAAAACCGATGACGACATGTTCATCAATGTGCCGAAGCTGCTGGCCTTCCTGGACAAGCACAAGGACAAGCGGACAATATACGGCAGGCTGGCCAAGAAGTGGAAACCCATACGAAACAAAAAGTCAAAGTACTACGTGTCCGTGGACCAGTTTGCGGCGGGCGTCTTTCCATCTTTCACGACGGGACCGGCCTATGTCCTCACCGGGGACATCGTGCACGAGCTGTACGTGCGATCGCTGAAGACCGTCTACCTGAAGCTGGAGGATGTCTTCACCACGGGCATCGTGGCCCAGGCACTGGCCATCAAACGTGTGCAGGCCAACGAGTTCGTTAACCGGCGCATCTCGTTCAATCCCTGCAACATCCGCAACGCGATCAGCGTGCACATGATCAAGTCAAACGAACAATTCGATCTGTGGAAGAAGCTGCTGGACCAGACCACCAAGTGTAAATAGTATTTTAAGTTTAGGGTTTAGTTCTTCGTCTTAAACGAATCAATAGGAATCGGAAGTGTAGCAAAAAATAGGGAGGTCTGCAAATATATGTAATATGATACGAGTATAGATTGTTTAGCAAATGCAGCTATAGAATTATAGGTATAGTGTAGCCTCTAAGTCCTAGGAATATCACAAATTTCGCAATTTCAACCATTGCGAATACCTTTTAAAAGATTCTAGTTTAATTTTAGCATTCTGAATGCCATTATTTAAATGATAATTACTGAGCGATAACTGTGGTTATATCTTAACACTGAATATATGTCTGTATATCGAGAGAAAACCCCCAAATTGTGTTTTAATTACCGATCATTAATCACCCCGGAAATCGACATGGGGATCTGCCTAATAAATTGCCGAATAAGTACTCTTGTTCTCCCGACCGTTAGCATTTGGGTTCGTACATGCCAACATTTTATGGTGGTTATCAAAAACAAAAACAAGTTAGACGGAACTCAAGTGCTCAACTTTCTTCGAATTGGCCAAGACAGCCAGCTGGGTTCGGGTTTTGCGTAGTTTCTTTCTTTTCGCCGGCCACCAAGATTTTTGTCTGATAAGACCGAAGTTGAGGGTCTTGCGGCTAAGCACCTAGACTGTGTTTATTATTGAAGCGAATGGAATTTTTGGGGAAGTGCATGAAAAGTGTGAATATTTGGCAGGTATTCCTTAACACAAAATGCGATATAATTGACAGTTGTTCACGTTGCTCCGGATCTACGTGACTTAATTGCAATTTATTTGATTTCAGGTTTTTGGTTGATTACTCATTTAAAAAAAAAACCGGATAAATTATACAAGTTATTAAAGTTAAGTGTTTAACTGGAGCTCTTTACCATGAGTTTTTTTTCTATGATTCACTGTATTGAATAATATTTACGATGTGAATTTTTATTACGCAGAAAGTAATAGTAGCCATAAAAATATTTTAATTTAATTTTGGAAAAGTCCAATAGAGTAACTGAAAGGTAAACCGATGTCAAAATAATATAACTTTTCAAAAGAAATTGCATTTTTCTCACAGTTTACTCTATTTAAGTGGTTATTTGTTGAGCAAACAAATGCCAGACGGAGTTCCTGTTAATTTTACAGCATTTTTTTATTAATTGTTGAAGGTAAATAAGATTAATGCACTTGATGCTTCTGGTAGTTAAATGTTAGATAAGTGCTGACATCCGATTGATAAGCTTCAATTGTTACTCGTTTTTTAGATAAGAATCGTGAGGAAGGCTACTTTAAACGTGTTGGGAGTAGGTTAAGCAATAAACCACCAATTACAGAAGAAATATAGGAATACCCCAAACCAGAAACATGCTTCAGAGGCGTTTGATTTCTGGCGATATCTATGAAGGAGACCGAAACCGATAGAAACAAGAAAGCGAAAAAGTTTATCGACTTTAAAAGAAATCTGGCGTGTAAATCAAGACAAAATACGCTTTTTTTATTAATTGACTGATATAAACCCTAATCGATACCCTTGTAGCTCATGGTATTTAACAAATGTTAACAAATGATAACTTGGTAGCTTACATGCTATATAATAGATGAAATAGTGACAAATGTTAGACAAGCTGATGACATCGAATTGATAAGCCCCAATTGCCTTCCATTTTATGGATAACAACCGTAAAGTTAAAAGATGATATGCTTGGAATAGAAATACAGAACAGAGTAACGTAGTTTAAAAACATTTTTGGGGTTACGCCGCCAAAAATTTAAAATTCCTGATGAAAGCCCTAAAAAAAAAGGGTTCTAGGGATGGGAATTAAAAAAAATTAAACGATAACTTCAAATCGATAGATTTTGATGGAAGCACGTTTTTCAAGCAAAGAAAATTTTGTCGCATCGAAGCCTTGAAAAAACTGTCAATTCATCCTCTGCTCTCAGTTGAACTAATTTTTCAGTCCACAAGCAACTTTTCATCAGAAAACCACTTACTTTCTTTATAATTTGAATATAATTTCAATTCCAATCGAATCACAACAATGGGTTCCACTGGCACCGGTTACGACTTGTCGGCATCACAATTTTCCCCGGATGGACGCGTCTTCCAGATCGAGTACGCTTGCAAGGCGGTGGATAAGAGCGGCACCGTCATCGGTTTGCGGGGCAAAGACTGCGTCGTCCTAGCTGTGGAGAAGATCATCTCCAGCAACTTGTACGAGGAAGATGCTGGCGGACGGATTTTCACGATTGAAAAGAACATCGGAATGGCTATAGCCGGGCTATTGGCCGATGGAAACTATTTGGCTGATATTGCCCGCCAGGAAGCGGCCAATTTTCGTCAACAATTCGATCGCACCATCCCATTGTCGAAACTTTGCGAACGGATTGCAAGCTACATGCACGCGTACACTCTTTACAGTGCCGTCCGACCCTTTGGGCTTTCCATCATCCTTTCCGCCTGGGATGAGACGAGTGGACCCGAGCTTTATAAGATTGAGCCCTCTGGTTCCTTTGTCGGCTACTTCTCTTGCGCTAGTGGAAAAGCAAAGCAGCAGGCCACGACGGAGATGGACAAGCTAAAACCAAACATGGCGGTGGAAGAGGTCATCAAAATGGCCGGCGAAATCATCTACAAGGTTCATGACGAACTAAAGGACAAGGACTTTCGATTCGACATGGGTCTGGTGGGCAAGGAAACCAACGGTCAACATTGCATTAATCCTAGCGTCTATACTGATTTTGCCAGGAAAGCCGGTGATGCTGCCACCAATGAGGACGATAGCGACAATGAGATGCTTTAGGCGTCTCTGACATGGCTGATCTGGGCATAATTACATAAAACTACTTTAATATTCTATGCTTTAGTTTAAAAGTGTGACTCTTTACATTTTTCTATCGCATAGATTATCACAAGATCATCACAAAACAGAATTGTGACATACTTTTATAACAATTAACACTTTGAATTATGCCTAAAACAAACTAAAGATGTTTTAAATAATAAAATAATGGGTTTCCTCTGAGAACGACGAACTTACGAATTTATTTTCCGGTTTGAAATGTTTTCGTGGTGATCCCCCGTGGCGGGCATGATGACGAGGGTTGCCAGACCTGAAAACTTAATACCAAATACAAATATTATTTACAGAAAATGGAAGCATTCTCCAAAGACAGAAAAGGATGAAATTGCATGGTCATTAGGCTGATATTATTCTAAAATCCTGCTTTGCGTTAAAATAATTGATTTTTTTTGCTTTTATAGAGTGACCAGCCAACGGCAGGTAGGAATCGCATCGACGCTTAAACAAACTGCGTTGGGCACACTTCGCGACCAATTCTATATCACAAAAAAAATTTTCTGCGGCCAAATTCGCGTTTTCGAAAACGAGAATTAACCGGAGAATCAACGCATGGAGAACGGATTAGAGAACGGAGCCCTGGCCGAGGGCGAGCCGGTGGACGAGGCTTCCGAGAACCAGGTGCTGAGCAGCTCAGACGGCGAAGGAGATGTTGATGATCGGGAGGAGGGGGTAGTGCAGCAGCAGCCGCCGCCGCCGCAGCAGCCACCAACAACAAACGATTTAGTGGCTGCGGGGAGGGATGGGGGCGGCGAAGGTCCTTTACCCATGGATCTTGGACATGCAGAGTCTGGAGTTCCGGCATTAGATGCAGTTGCACCATCGGCGCTTCTCGAGGACAACCTGTGCGACAAAGACGTGGACAGCGATGCCGCCGACGAAGACAATGATGATGAGGTGAGAGTTTTGAGAGTGAAGATGTGATTTTTAAAAGAAATGTAGAACAAATCAAGTTTATAAGATATTTTACCATAAATGTTCCCTGTTTCATGTGTATTTCTTGTGTCTCCTTCCAGACAAAAGAAAACTATGAAGGCTTTAATGGAACTGGACGCACTGTCACCTTGCAGACACTGATGGCTGCCAATGTCCTTCAGCCGGGACTGGGTCTGATGACCATCGAGTACCTGGGACAGAAATTTGTCGGCGACCTGCTTGCCGATGGTAAGATTAAGTCGCACGAAACAGAGACCGTTTTCCTGACACCCAGCGCCTGGGCCATGCACTGCAAACGGATCATAAATCCGGAGAAAAAGAGTGGCTGCGGCTGGGCGTCCGTAAAGTACAAGGGCAAGAAGCTAGATGCCTACAAAAACACCTATTTGCGGAAGTGCGCTCTGCAAAAGGACAACTCGCCGTTGGACGACAGCGAGTTGGGTAAGTAGTACTCCCGCCTGAAAGTGATTTCCATTAATCATTAACTTTAACAGATGCCGAGCGAAAGTCCGATTCCCCAGAGGTTGTGGTCAAACGAACTGTATTCGCCCATAACACCGTTTCCAATCGCAATATAGTTCAGTAAGTAGAAAGGGTTAAATTAAAGAGTTATATCAGGGAAGTAATTGTTCTATAATATCATAGCGATGCCAACATGCTCATCGAATCGGTGCCGTTCACATCGGTGGGCAAACTACAGCCCTTCCTTATTACCCTTAATTCCTCTGCCCTCCTGCTGGCCGACTTCCACAGTCATTTGACGGTTCGCGAGGTGTGCGGCTACCTGGGCGGCACCTGGGACATGAACACACACAGTGAGTCCGGCTCGACACGGCGATGACCTTGTATGTTTTGCATTTCTAAATCTGCCTTTTCCATTCCAGCTCTGTCCATTACAAAGACATATCCGTGTCGGAACACACGATTCGATAGACAACGAGCCGGCGAGGTGGAGCGGGATATTCAGAAGATGATGATCCAGGATCAGTTGCTTCTGGTGGGTTGGTACCATTCACATCCAAAGTTCCAGGCGGAACCCACGCTGCGGGATTGCGACTCGCAACTGGACTATCAGATTAAGATGCGCGGTGCCAGCGATCTGACTTACACGCCTTGTGTTTCCCTGATTATATGTAAGTGCTGCCATGATTGCATAATCATGAACTATAACTCATCCTATAATCTAAACAGCTCCTTACTACGACGAGAATCCCACACTGGAGTCGGTGGTTAAATGTATATGGATCGTGCCTCCCGGGGAGAGCAAACAATCGATGGAGTATGGTCGGCCCATGTTAATGCAGTATTCGGTGTTACCAGACAAGGAGATACCTGAGGAGGTGCGCTCTGAGATTCAGCTGTGCGTGGATTACTATTCCCAGTTTCGTGGTGAGGTAGTTCGCTTCCGGAATATCTACAACAATGAGGTCACCTACAACGAGAAGCTCAAGAACACCCTCTACCCTAAGTTCCCAACAAAGCAGAGTGACAAGGCACTTTGGAATTGGATTTGCGCGGTGCTCGACTGCGAGCAGGAGGACGACTTTATACCACCCAAAACCATTAAGATTATTGACAATGATGAGTTGGAGGTTAAGGAAGAAGAAAAGCCTGCAGCGGCACAGTTGGATGTGAAAATGACGCCGCCAAAGGAAGAGTCATTGAACGAGGCGGTTACCGCTTTGGAGGAGAGTGTCCGGAAGGCCGAAGAGGAGTCACAGCAGGCTCAGGCAGAGCAGAAAGCCAGCGAGCTGAAAGTGATGTCGCTTCAGGAGCAGCTCTGCATGCCCTCAGGCTTGAATATGAATCCGGTGCGAATGCTGTCGCCACTTGCCACGCCGAACCCCACATCTGTACTGCCGAATTTGGCAGCACCAACTACTGGGTTGCTTCCTCCGCAAACCCCGGCCACTTCCAGTGTTCCACCCGCGGCTATCCCACCTGTAACTACACTGAGTGCTTCGCCCCGCGACAGTCCCATCACCATTCAGTCGAACTCGGCCAGTCCCGCCAAGTTTGAAGTACCAGTGCGAGCATCTCCATCGCCCGCCAAGTCCGATACCTCCTCTCACGCCTCCACATCCGCCTCGACGTCGCGCACCCGAAACTCGCCTGCCCCCAGTCCGGGGAAGTTCAGCGTAAGCGATATCGCGAGGAACAGCCCAAGTATTACGCCGAACAAGTACGAGGTGGTACCATCAGCAGCCGCTTGTCTGCCCACGGCCAATGATCTGATGGCCGCCAGTCTGGCGCAGCTGGCGGGGCAGCTGCCCCCGAACTTCTTGCAGGGCGACTTGGCTGCCCTCTTCCAACAGCAGCGAAAGGATTATGGCAGCTCGTCGCTCAATCAACTGGCTGCAGCGGCGGCCAAGGTGGGCGGCTCCAAACAGGGAGGTAACTCTAATGCAGCCTCTGCCCTGAATGATCCCAATGTGGCGGCCGCAGTGGCTGCATACTCGAACAGTTTCAACATGCCGCTGCCCACTGCCGGAGTAGGAGGAGTGTCTGGCGGCAACAGCAACTCGCACAGCAACAGCAAGTCCAAGTCGGAACGGTCCTCCAAATCCTCGTCTTCATCCTCGTCCTCGAACTCCAGTTCCAACTCGAATTCGTACAAGACTAAGCTGATGAAGGAGCTTGATGAGTTGAAGAACGATCCGCTGAAGATGAGTGAGTTAATCCGCTCGCCGGAATATGCGGCGCTACTGCTCCAGCAGGCGGAGGCCTTGGGCGCCACTACACTGGGAACTTTGGGCTTTGGCTCGGACTACAGCTATTTGACGGGAGCGGGTCTGGGAGTGCCCACACCTGGTGGCCAGCCGTCTAATTCCTCGAGTGGAAAGTCCTCGAAATCCTCGCCCGCTGCTGCGGCGGCGGCTGCCCTCAGTGCCGACTACAACAACTTGATTCAGGCCTCGAAGCTGCTCGGCTACGACTCCTATATGCAGCAGAGCAAGCAGAGCAACGACCTCAACGCGTTTCTGCAGCAGCAAATGGCGGCCGTGGCAGCGGCGTCTATTCCTCCGCCAGTCTCAGCGGTTGGTGGTTCCAACAGCAGCTCCTCCAAGAAGCAGCAGCAGCAACAACAACAGCAGCAGCAGGCGGACTACACTGCCCTCCTGCAGACCTACACCAAGTTGTTCGATCCCAACAACCAATTCGCAGCAGCCATGTCGTCGAACAAGCACATGGCTGGAGCCCACAACGAACTCTCCGCACTGCTGTCCGCTGGCGTGGGAGTGCCTGGAGGATCTGCGGGTGGTGGGGGAGGAGGAGGATCATCCAAGCAGAAACAGAAGGACATTCAGAGCGACATGTTGAATCAGCTATTGCAGTTGGAGAAACAAGACTCGGAGATCAAGGCGCTACTGTATCGTCAAAACAAGGCCGCCGCCGATCTGGACGCACTCTTTGCCACTCCCACGGGAGCAGGTGCCCCTGGCAACTCTATGAAGGCTGGTGGTTCTTCAGCTGCTCCAGGAGCACCCTCACCCTCGTCGCTTTCTAATCCGGCTGCTTATTACAATGCCCTCGCTCAGGAGAAGATGCAGGACTACGCCGCCTTCTTCCAGCAGCAGCATGGAAAGTATGGAATACCCGATCCGTTGTCCAAGTCCACCTTGGCGGCCAACAACATGTTTATGTCGCCGTCGGCGCTCTTCAAGATCCAGCAAGAATCGCTCTCGGCCATGATGATGAAGCCGCCGAAATCGACGACACCTTCGTCGGCACGCACCCGGGAATCGTCGGCGTCGCCAGCTCTGGAACGGCTGACGCCTACCAAGTCGGCCAGCAGCGGGGGCGGCGGCAATAGCAACTCCAACTCTGGTGGCAAGTACAACTTCAGTGCCGTCGACTTGGCCATATCCAGTGTGCCCTCGAACACCCCATCGCCGGCTCCTTCCGACGGCAGCAGCAGTTCTTCGCATCGTCGGCCCTCTCCGGACCTGAGCCGCCTCTACGGCGAGTTGGCGCCTCCGGGAGCCCTCCTTGGCAGCGGTGGAGTCGGGTTGCCCAAGAAGCGCATGGAGTTCGCGTCTGTAGCCGATCTGGCCGCTCCGCCTCCGGCCAAGATGCCCAAGAACAGCATGGGCGATGACATACTCAACCTGTCGCACGATTAGGATAGTCGGAGCGGCAGCATTTCCCCAGCAGTATCTATTTCCATACGTAATCCATTAATGTACCAGTGTCCGGTGTCATTTTAATCGCCCAATCAGTATCCATTCGGTACAAGTATTTCATATAATTTCCCTTATTTCCATAAGTTACTTTTCGCTAAGTGTAAAGTCCATTAATCAGAACTATCCAACTGATGGCAGACAGTTCGAGTATTTCATTTTGGATACATAGATGTATTGTTCGCAACCCAGATATGCTGTGCATATCTCACAATCAAAACCACAATCATTATGATTCGAATAGAGATGTCGCCAGTCCTACGAGTGAATCTCCGCTTTTACTCACCTTACGAGCGCCGTATGTCCTTTAAACATTTAATTTAATGTACTCGTACTAATTTAGGTTTAATTATCGTACTTTAAGTATTTTAATATATACAGACAGACAGAGCACAACACATCAACTGTATTGTATTGCCGACAGCATTACCTATAACTTTGAATCTTTGCCGCAATAAATTAAACGACTAGTTACTTAGTTTACAAAATCCGATGTTTTGAGTTCTACCATATGGGATTAGTTTTGAAAACATATAGCCCCCTTATTCGAATAAACCTGTAAAACCTCTATGCAAAACGTATGGGTTATAGCCCCCTGAGTGGGTTTAGTTGGTAACTGAATCAAAACAATCCCCACTGCTCTCCACACGCATAAACAAGCGTTGGGGGGCAGGTGTTTGCCTCTCGTATCATTTGGCACATTTTTAGGGGACTGGCCGAAGACTAGTTTCTCCGGCCAGTATTCAAAACACTCGCTATCTTGTTTGCCGGAGAACCAGTGGCCTGACCTGGCCCGGCCTATATAAATAGAGGCTCTTGGTCGTCGTCGAGCTTCAGTGATACTTTTAACCCGAGAAGGATCAGACATGGCGCAGTATAAGGTAAGCTTATAAAAGTTTCTAGAGAGGATTACATATTCCTGTGGATTACGTGAAGCGTGGATTATAAAGCGTTACTAGAAAATGTTTAGTGAAATATTTATTTTAAATATAATTTGTTATTGTCGATTAAAATACATTAAAAATAAAGCAAGTCATTGGATAAATGTGCTTCTCAGGGCGCGTGCCGTTCGATTTGAATATATAACACCCAGTTCCGATATTAAAAACAAGTTTTTTTTTTTTTTTTTTTTTTTTCGCGGTCTTTCAGAATTTGGAAATGGCTTGTGCATCAATAAGAGCATCAGCTAGCATTCCTGTATTCATCATAAAGCTTAGAGGCCCAGACGACCGAGGGGCGCTCAAGAAACGATTTGTTAGAGTATATTAAGTTATTTGTTAATTATTAAGCTAAGAGGAGTTAGTAAGGAAATTTAAAATTCTATATTTTAAATTAGAGGGACAGGAAAGAGATGTAATAGAGTAGAGACCATTGTAGTTCGAACATAATACCCTAAAAGGGTCATGCAGTGCATATGTCGAACTACAACGGCTAAGGAACAGAGGACTAAAGTTTCGAGTCCTTCTATTAGGAATGTTGAAATTTAAGCGTGTTAGTAAATGCTGGCTATCTACATCCCCGTTGATAAGGTTTTGCAGAAAAACTACACCGAGCATTGTCCTACGATTTGTTAAGCTAGGTAAGTTAATAAGTAAAAGTCTGCTACTGTAGGATGGAAGCTGAAGATTTGCATCCCAGTATAGACCTCTAAGTGCAAATATTAAAAAGTTCTTTTGTACGGATTCTATGCGGTCCTTATGTACTCCATATTGGGGACTCCAGACACATGAACCGTACTCTAGTATCGGACGGACCAAAGAAATGAATAAAGTTTTGGTTATATAGGGGTCATTAAATTCTTTTGACCACCTTTTAATAAAACCAAGGACTCCTTTAGCCTTATTAACCATTAAGGAAATATGGTCGGCAAATTTAAGTTTTATGTCTAATAGGATGCCGAGATCATTAACCTGGGTTAATTTTTCTAAGGCAATCCCATTAATGGAATACGTAGCTTGCAGAGGGCAAGAACGATAAAAAGACATATGCTTGCATTTTGATCCATTAAGTATTAAATCATTAGCCAAACACCATTTTTGAAAGTTATCAAGGTCAGACTGAAGACTGCATTGGGCAGAGATGGATTTATACTGAAGACAAAGCTTTACATCATCTGCATACATAAGAACTAGAGAGTTCGTTAAAGCAGGGGGCAAGTCGTTTATAAAAAGCGTAAATAATAACGGGCCAAGATGACTTCCTTGAGGGACGCCGGATGTAGCACGGACCAGACGGGACTGTATGTTTTTAAATAAGACTCTTTGTGTCCTTCCATCTAGGTAGCTGGAGATCCACGTTAAGAGGTCTTTAGGAAAACCCAGCATATTCAGTTTACTCAACAAAAGTGAGTGATTAACTGAATCAAATGCTTTGCTGAAGTCTGTGTAAATTACATCGGTTTGATATCCCTTACAAAAGCCGTCTATGACAAAGGATGTCAACTCCAATAAGTTTGTGGTGGTGGAGCGACGCTTAATAAAGCCATGCTGACAAGGAGTGATGATCGAAGAGCAAAGGTGTTGCAAATGAGGGGTAATTAATTTTTCAAATAACTTTGGAATTGCCGACAACTTAGAGATGCCTCTGTAGTTGGCAGCCTCGGACTTTTCCCCTTTTATGTAGGGGAATTATAAATGATTCCTTCCACTTAAGGGGAAAAATCGAGGTTTCCAAAGATAAGTTGAAAAGTCTTAGAAGAGGTTTGCACAGAGCCCTGGCGCAGTATTTTAGCACACAGCCTGGTACTCCGTCGGGGCCTGGCGAATAAATGGGTTTTACCCTTAAAAGACCAGATAATAAGTTGCTCTCAGAAAAAGACGGACAGAAAATAAGATTTGCTGCTTGAATGTTATATGCATAAGGCTGATCAGTCAATTTAGGAGGAGAATAAGTTGTTTGAAAAAATTCTGCGAATAGATCGGCAATGGCCTGATCCGAAGTCGCAGAGGAATTTTCAAACATAAGCAGAGGTGAAAAAGATACGTGTTTACGCTTAGTGTTTACAAAATTATAAAACTGCTTTGGATCCTGAGTAAATTGAATCCGGCAGCGGTCAATATAATTCCTATAACATTCAGCGTTATGCACGGTAAAATTCGACCGAGCTAGTAGGTATCTTGAGAAATCAACACTACTGCAGGTTTTTTTATATTTAAGTAAAAGCTTATTTTTTTATTTTTTAGGTTAGTGAGGGACCTTGTATACCAAGGAGGATTTGTTGAAGCGGACGGATGTTTCCAAGGCACACATGAGTCAAAAATGTATTTAAAGTAAAATAAAATTTTTCTAAAGTGACATTAAGATCAGTGCACGCCAGAATATCAGACCAGTCAAATGTATCGATAAGGCTATTAAGTTTTTGAAAATCAGCTTTACGGAAACAGCGAATCTTATTTACCACGCTCGGAGACATCTGATCGATACCAGGAGTGGTTTCGATTGAGACCTCCAGCGTGGGGTGATATGGATCCTCTGGGGCTGAAAGGGGAAAAGCTCTGGAGAGAGCGGTACCATCTGGATCAGATACAAAACATAAGTCTAAGAGCCGACCTAGCGAATTTCTGACATGATTGATCTGACCTAGGGACATGTCAAACATGCCCGCGGTGAAGTCATGGTAAGTTATAAGTGACAAAGATGGTGAGTTATCGACGTTGGACCACTTTAATTCTGGGATATTAAAGTCGCCCACCGCTACGAGTTGGTCACGATCCGTCATAAGATTAGAGACGTATCGAATAGCGGACAAATGCTGCCAATATGTGGGCGGTTCAGACATAGGAGGTATATATGAACATGTAATGTATAAAGCTTTCACGGACATAGTGATTTTAACGCAAATAAATTCTATGTCACCAAACTCTTGGGATTTCACCTCTTCAGAAGCAAAAGTAGAGTCTACCGAAATGAGGACTCCACCTCCTCTTCGCTGAGATCGATCCCGTCTAAAAGTGGTGTACTTACTTGGAAAAACTTCGGAGCTAAAGATCTCCGGATTTAACCAAGTTTCTGTAAATGCTATTATATGGGATGCAAAGAAAGAACTATCAGAATATAGCTTGGGGAGTTTGCTACGTAGCCCCCTAGTATTCTGATAGGTAAGAGTTAGTGAGGAAATTAGTTTTTTGGGTTAGAGGCCAAAGAAGAGGTGGAGGGTTGGTCAGTGGTTCCGATATTGGGAAGTCTCACTCCCACTGGTTTATTAACTTTTTTTTTAACGGAACTAGGCTGATGTTCTTGGACGAAAAGATTCTCTGGCCAAAAACTGGGAGAACAAATCGTCTTGAACATCAGCGCGGGCACACGAATCTTGAAAGAAGACGTGCGCCTTGTATAATTGTATTTAAATTTTTGTATGTCCTCCACCTTTATATCGGCTTTAGTTTTGGCTTTGATATAAGCCGAGATATCAATCTCTGAAGTATCAGGGGCAAGCCGAGAAACAAATATATGTTTCGATGGAGGAATCACCTGTAAGGGTTTTGGTGTCGCAGGTACAAGAACTGCAGCATCAGTCGGTGCCGGTGGTCCGGACTGTGGAATACCCTTTTGGGTGACCCTAATGGGGGTTTCGTTCCCTAGGACCTGTGGCATCACTTGAAGGGATGCCATGGCGGACATATCGGACAATTGCTCATTATCCCTGAGAAATTCTGACGAATTTTTCTCAGTTAAGGCCCTTGGGGTGGCCAGAGTTATGAGCGGCTGCATTAATGTCGGCTGAGCTGGCTGAGGCGGATCAGAAACAGCGGATTTCTTACGCTTAGGGGACTCATTTAGCAGCTGAAGGCCACTAAATTGAGTGTCAAGCGCACAGAGCTGGTCATTGATTTTACGAAAACCAGTGATCAGCTCTTTAAATCCATTTTTGGTCTGTCTCATGAACGACCTCATTTCGCCTTGCACAGCACGACAATTTTCGCAACAATAATGTATCCCAGACCTACGGGAAATGGCATCCGAAACTGATGCAGTGAAACCGGCACACTTGGCGTGCACGACGTTTTCACATAACCAGCAATGGATACTAGGCTGGGATGTGGAAATCGTCTTGTTGCAAGACTTAATGGCACAGACCACAGACCAAGACCAAGACCAAGTTTCTCCAGCATCATGGATCTTATAAGCATCTGCAGGTAGATTCAGTTTAGTGTTTATTTAAATAAAGATAAAAATATCTTTCAGGCTTTCTGTTTATCAAGAAATCATAAAGATTAAATATACAACAAAGTACTCTGAAAAAGTCTTAAGAATCATACATCATAGGGTTGATAAAAATGGTATTTTTTTATATTGCAGTACCTCTCCGGCTTCGGCTCGCACTTTTCCTCCGAGGATGAGCGCTGTCCCAATGCCCTGCCCGTGGCCCAGAACTCTCCCCAGGTGTGCCCCTACAATCTGTATGCGGAGCAGCTCTCCGGCAGTGCCTTCACAGCTCCCAGAACCGAGAACGTGCGCACCTGGCTCTACAGGAAGCTGCCATCAGCCGTCCACCTACCTTTCCAACCCTTCAAGGGAGCCAAATACTTTCGTCAAAACTGGGATGAACAGCCTCCAAATCCAAATCAGGTATTAATCCATGGATTTATATTTTAGTTCCACATTTATAAATCTATTTCTTATTTATTGTTCTTAGATGCGTTGGAAGCCCTTTGATCTGCCTGAGGATGGAAAGACTGTAAACTTTGTGGAGGGTTTGCACACGGTTTGTGGCGCTGGAGATCCCAGATCTCGTCATGGTCTCGCCGTGCACATATTCTCCTGCAATGCCTCCATGGACTCCTCGGCTTTCTACAATAGTGATGGTGATTTCTTAATCGGTAAGTATAATTTTATTTCACTTGGAAGTTATAGAGTTTCTATATATAGATTATTTTAGTGCCCCAGGAAGGAACCTTGGACATAACCACAGAATTGGGAAGAATGTCGGTAGCTCCCAATGAGATTTGTGTTATTCCCCAGGGCATTCGGTTTGCCGTCAATGTGAATAAGCCTTCCAGGTGAGTCCATTCCAGAGAAACCTTTAAATAAAATAATGTAAGGGAACTTTAAATCCCTTTTAGGGGGTACATTCTGGAGGTTTACGATGGACACTTTGTGTTGCCCGATTTGGGACCGATTGGAGCCAATGGTTTGGCAAATCCTAGAGATTTCGAAACTCCAGTGGCTTGGTTTAGTGATAAAGAAATTAAGGGTGAGTAATATACGGTTTATATACAATTTTAAAATAGTACTAGCCTCACTTTATCCTTTACAGACTTCCAGGTTATATCCAAGTTCCAGGGAAGCCTTTTCGTGGCCAAACAGAACCACACTGTCTTCGATGTGGTGGCCTGGCATGGCAACTATGTGCCCTACAAATACGACTTGGCCAAGTTTATGGTCATCAACTCGGTCAGCTTTGATCACTGTGATCCCAGTATCTTTACCGTACTCACCTGTCCTAGCTTGAGAGCCGGAACTGCGATTGCCGACTTTGTGATCTTTCCCCCACGTTGGTCTGTTCAGGAGCACACTTTCCGACCGCCCTACTATCACAGTGAGTTCGAAGCTCATATTACATTACTCTGGTTTTAATATTTTTTATTCATCAAACTAGGAAACTGCATGAGCGAGTTTATGGGCCTCATCCTGGGCAAGTACGAGGCCAAGGAGGAGGGCTTTGCCGCCGGCGGGGCCACCCTCCATTCGATGATGACTCCGCACGGACCGGATGTCAAGTGCTTCTATGGTGCCTCAAAGGCCAAATTGGTTCCGGAGCGAGTCGCCGAGGGCACTCAGGTATGTGCTATAATTTAGCCGGAAATCTTTAATATCTTTCTCATTTATTTGGAAGGCTTTTATGTTCGAATCATCTTTAAGTTTGGCGGTTACCAAATGGGGCGAAGAAACTTGCCAGAAACTAGATGCTGCTTACTACGAGTGCTGGCAGTCCCTGAAAAATAACTTTAAAATCTCTGAAAACTGATAAAAGTTATATTTAATACATTTGTACAAAAGAAAAAGGACCGAGTTTTTTGAACGGCTATAAAAAATGTTATTTTATTGATAAACAAGTTTTGGACACTTATTTTCGGTTCTACCAACAGACTGAGTAAGGATTTATGTATTATTTTAAAATTAATATATTTGAATCACATTTCAAACATGATTGGACGGACAAATTGAACATTTTTGAGTGATATGGTAATAAAAGAAGAACGCCACTAAGCTAATGTTAACTGTTATTCAAGAAAAAATAAAAATAATTAAAAAGCACTTAAAATTTATTAAAACCTGATCATGATTAAGTATTATAATATTTTACAATAACTTACTCAGTCTGTTGGAAGAATTCCTTGAACATTTAAAATTCAGCTTGATATTAACTGCATGGAAATCTTAAGTCTAATATAATTGAACTCTTATATCTTAAAAGTAATACTCGGAGCCGATCGGGGACTTCGATTATTAAAAACCTGGCTGCCATTCAATCGGCAAACACACAAATGGTTGCAGTTCATCGGCGTGGGTTCGCTTAGTTTTTGAAACTCCGAAGTGTTGTGGGAGTTTGTGACATTATCATCGGATCGGCGGCTATATAGACATTTGGTGGCACAATTGCAGGAACTCAACCGGGAGGAGTTCGTAGCTGAACCGCAGTACTGATGTGGGGATGGCTCCAAACTAGCTCTGCCAAAGGCACAGTAACTGTCCAGCGTGTCCACTGTACTGATAAGATCCGGTGTGAGCTCGGAATGTTGTTGATTCGTCAGCCAATAGGTTCGCATGTCGCCTTTTCCCTAAAAAAAAAATAGGTGTCATTTTTCCTAAAGTTTCCAAGAACCCTTCGAACCTACCTTAATGTTGGTTAACCCTCTTTCGATGCAGACGTAGCCACCAATCGTCTGGAGAAGTTGGTTGGTGGCTTCGGAAATGTGAATCTTCATGGACTCTCCAGTGCTTTCCATTCTGGAGGCTGTATTCACAGTGTCTCCAAAGAGGCAATACCTGGGCATCTAATCAAAGGATTATACCCGCTGTTTTCTGAAGGAAATTGCAGAGAAACTCACCTTTCGACCCACAACACCGGCGGCACAGGGACCAGAATGAACTCCAATACGTAGCTGGACCGTTTCAGTGGGCTTGTGCCGGATCTTTAGGTTTCCAACTGTCTCCAAAAGATGAAGTGCCAATGAGGCTATTTCCCCGGCATGACGATTGCCATTTGGCAATGGTAGACCAGAAACAACCATATAAGCATCTCCTATGGTCTCAACCTTAAAAACAACTAATAAGTCTAGCTAAAGCTTAGGAAATTATATTATAAGTACCACCTTGTAAACATCATAGTTGGAAATAATTGAATCGCAACAGGTGTACCATTCGTTTAGCATTTCGACCACCTGGAAAGGAGTGCTGGTGGTACAGAGTTCTGTGAAACCCACAATGTCACTAAAGAGTATAGTAACACAATCAAAGCACTCTGCCTCTACGGGATCACCACGTTTAAGAAGTTCAGCAACAGGCCTTTATTTTATAGTTTTTTTTAATATGTTAATAAATTAATAATAAATTTATAAGTGAGTTACCTGGGCAGCATTTGATAGAGTAGCATATCGGTTTTCTTTTTCTCCTCATACAACAGATTAGTCCGTTCCTGGACAAGGCCCTCCAGATTATAAGCATACTTTTCCATTATGGACAGCATGTTATCAAATATGTTGGGTTTCCTTTAAAAATAGTTTTACTTTAATAGAGAATTTTAGTTTAAAAATTTAAAAAGCTTACAATCCCGCCTGCAACTCCTTCAAGTGCATGCGAATTAGTCGAATATCTGGCCTTGCTTCCGGATCCTCATCCCAGCACTCACACAGACACTTGCGAATATACTCCGGAATTTCCAAGTGCGTGTGCGTCAAGGCCGGACGAAATATGCCGTGCTGCAGCAGTTCCGGACATTTGACAAAATGAATTATCTCTGAAAGTGTAAAATACAAATTCTATTTCGGGACGAAATCATTTCTCAAATGCCAAATGTCCTACCCTCCTTCGAGTAGGTGGTTTCGCCCCAAGGACCCTTGCGGCCAATCATCTCGTAGAGCAGTATCCCAAAGGAATAGACATCCCCCTTCTGGGTGCCTCGAGGAGGTCGATAGTCATCCCGCAAAAGCTCCGGCGCCATGCACAGGGCACGTTTCACTTCCAGTTCACTCCTGCGACACGGCATTCAGAAAATGTGATTATTTGTATCCATTATTATAAAGAACAGAGTGAATACGAAATGGCAATAAAAATAAGGTACATTTGAAGCTTACTTATTGGGCTCATCTTGTCCGGCCTTCAGTTCGTGAAGCCCAAAGTCAGAGATCTGACAAACCCACCGAGAGTCGATCAGGCAGTTACTGGACCTCAGGTTGCCATGAGAAATAATTTCAGAGTCGTGCAGATATATCATGCCCTTTAATATATCCGCCACCAGCGAGGAGATGAACATGTGGTCCAGATAAAGGTCCTCATTGGCCAGCACGTCCTCCAGACTACCCCGGGCACAATAGGTGGTGAACAGTATAACCGATCCGTGATCCGTGGATGCCCCAATAAAGTTAATAATGTTCTCGTGGCGTACCTTGAGATTATTTTTAAATTATTTAAAATATTTAATAAAAAGTTTGCTTTCAAAGTTACTTCTCTCATTATTTTAAGTTCCTTGCGAATGGATCGGGTTATGTCCACATTCTTCTTATGAATCTTTCTCATGGCCACAATATTGCCACGAAAAAGAGCTACAAGACTTATTAATTTAAAATAATATTTAATATTAAACTGAAAAGTATACCTATATTTGTAAACGATCTTTTGCTGGGTTCTCCAACTACCAAGAGGCTTTGTCGACAAACTTGAAACTAAAATAGAATAAAATATGATTGATTTAACATAAACATATAGATATTATGTCATCAATAACCTACAATATTTTTGTTGCTTGGATTGTTGTATTCTCCTAGGTTTATAATGGTAACCTCTTTCATATCGACTTTCCACAAGAGTCCCGCCAAAGTTTGTTCGTATCGATAATGTCTTTAAAAATATTTCAAATTGTTCCATAAATTTAAAAAGAAATAGTATTCAAACCTACTTAATCAGCAAAGCAATGGCCACTACAACCACCAGGGCACAGAGAGGACCAGTTACTAGGTAACGCCAATCAAGTCCTTTCCTAGGACAAAGCTCGCCATGGAATCCGCAAAGAGGCTCAGCTCTAGGAGGACGACCATTGAGCCATTGAATGGGTCTGTCGTTTTTTATGTAACGAAACTCCTAGGGAATTTTTCATGATATTTATTTATAAGTTTTACTAATAAAGCCTTAATAATAAACCAACCGGTATTAGGGAATTCTTATCATACGCAAAGAAACCCACTGGTTGCATCGTCATCTTGGCCAGGGAACCACTTGAGGTGGCGCCCACATCGTTTTGCAAGGTTATCACAGTGTAATTACCCTCTGCATCTCCATTGGAATCAATATACACCTTTTACAGGATTAAAATAATATGTACTGGGATGTATCCAATCCATACCATCCATAAACCATACTCACATCGAATCCTTGTATGGAGTGATAGGATCTGTTGAAAATGCGACTCATCACCAAGTTTCCATCGTAAATATCTCCTCCAAATTGTAAGACTTCTGATATGGCGCGGACGTAGATCATAACACTGTCGTACAGGTGTAAACCGTATATAGGAACCTAGATTATAAATCCCGAAAAAAAATCAATTCAGGTTAACAAATAGAGCTTAGAGGGAGCAATAATACCGATATGTTGTCGAACACACGTTGGTGATATGGAACCAGAAATGGAGTTTTCCGAGCATAGTCTTTTATTTTAGAACAAATATCGCTGTAATAAAATAAATAACCGGCAATGCTAAGTACTGCTTTTGAAAATATTTGTATTTATTTTCCATGCTAAATGAATAACGTTTTAAAACAAAGTTTGGTTTAATAGCAATACCAATTAATGTTTTAATAATGCTAAAGTTTTCGCTGAAAATATTACAAATCATGCTTCAGTATTAAAGGACAACGTCACTACTTAAAAATTCACATTAAAATTGAAAGAGAAAGACGCAACAAAAACACTGACAGTTATAAATATAACTAAGAGTCAGATAAATTACCGAATATGGGGGTTTTGTGGATATGTCATGCTTATTTTTATAACTGAACGAAATGAGATTTTGTCCAGTGATTTGCTCTTTTCTTTTCTAATATAAGGATCTAAATAATCTGGAATAGATGGTGCATGCATTAGAAATCTAGTCCCGACCGGAAGAGCCATAAAATCCACTTACTACGTTCCATAAAGTTAACTCTCCGATTGGAGTCGTAGATCTCGTCATCAACGGAAACCACAATGTAGTCCCCACTTTCCAGAAGTCGCCGATTCTGAAGGCCCCGCACAAAGTCAACCATGGCTATGTGCTCGCCAATGAATACGTAAACTATTTAAGAGTTAAATAAGTTAATTTAAATGTTTAATTTTTTAATAAGATGTTGGGAATTAAAACTCAATACAAATCCTTACTGCGAGTTGTTAGGTATGTCTCTTCAATAATTTTATCAATTTGCGATAAAGTCTTCGTGGTTGGTATATAATCGGATATGTATTTAAAGTGGCTGATGGTAAAGTTTCTTGCCTCAGCCAGTTCCTGTATTATTTTTGGATAACTAAGATTAAATCCCAATCAAATACCATTGATGCCTTACCTGAATGGCTCGGGCCACGTCAGAACCAAAGATTGGTTTTGAACTGACAACGATGGAAAACTTTTTCCAATGAAAAGCACTCAGCAAACTTATCACACTTTTGGAGACCTTGGGAATTTTCAAGTCATACATAAAGTTTTTTTTTTGAATTTAATACACTACCTTTGAGGCAGGGGCCAGAGTTCGAGCAAAGGTATGAAAGGTACTCTTATTGGAGACTATAGAGTCGGCGCATTTCTAAAACAAACATTTGTATTAAGTTTAAAGAATGTTTTCAAAGCTTTAATTTTGAACAGAGTTGAAAAGTTTTATTGGATTTTATATGTTTTTGATGTTTTTGTGAAAGTTTTGTAGGTTAAGCACTCCGACAAACTTTAAACACTCTTAATCCTGAAAAGAAGCGTTTTACATTTTGGCAGTTTCAGTTTAAGTGTCAATTCAAGAGTAAGTTTTTGAAATAAAATGCTGTCGCTTGTCAAATGTCAAGTCGAGAAGTACTTTGAATTGAACCTATGTGACCCAGTTTATGGTTCACCTGTCATAGTACTCACAAATGATAGCATGGGGGTGTTCCAGGCGGAAGCCAGCAGTGCCTCCGTGGTGCAGCTCTCGTCCGGTCCAATGAAGGCGGTCACCCCAGCCTCACGCATCTGCGTCATTGCCCTGGGAACGGAGTATCCAAATGAGGCAACCATTTCAAAGGACACAGAGGGTCGTGGGTTAAATTGCATGAATTACCTCAAAGGCCTCACACGGTAGGCGCTCATTTTGTGGCCTATGTCGACGGGCTTGAAGGCCAATTTTTTTCCCAGCAACAGTCTCGGATTCTTATTCACATCCTCCACGGCGAGTGGCAGTCCTCCCAGCGTCACCTGTTGCAAATTGTTTGAATTTAAATTGAAGTCAGGGGCCTTGTTGCTTTTATAATTAAAGATGCAGTTGTGCGTGAAAAGATCCTAATTAATGCATGTTTTCATAATGACAGTGCCAAAGACAAACACCAACCGAGAATGTTGGCAGAGAAATTTATGCGGAGAGTTCATAAGAACATGGAGTTTAATTAAGGAATTTCTAAATTATAAACTCTCAAGTCACAAAAGAATGCAATTTAAAATGCCACCGAGACCAAAAAAAGTTCCTTTAAATGAAATAAAACTTCACTGAACTCGACGCCACTAAAAAGAAGAAACACCAAAAAAGCCAGAGTGGCAATCTTGTATTATTTTATACCAAAAACCCCGATAGTTTCACTGGGGAAGTTAATAATGGATTTTGGATAATGGAAAATGGATTTTAATTCAAGGTATTTTTAATCAAGCCCCACAACAGAATGCAATAAAAGGTGTCCCTAATCCCACAGAGAAAGCTTACATATTCTAACAAACAAGTATAAATATTTATTATTTTGTAAATTAAAAATTATTTAATTGACAAGCAACATTTCAAAGCCCAGAAGTTCGTTAATTCCTTGGGCATAGGCCCGGAGTTCGTGGTCGCTGCGACCGATGGTTCTGATACGCAACAGCCGTATATTGAGACGCATGGCCAGAATAAAGCTGGTAATGGCCAGTGTCAGGACATATAACCATAAAACGATAGCCAGAAGTGCGAGCAGCACAAAGTGATCGGCCTGAGGTAGATTTTCGTTGAAGAGGCACAGCCACAGGCAGACGGGGACCACGCAAAGGCCTTGGACAATCTTTATGCACCAGGGCAGGATCATCAGAGGACTGCACTTTTGCCACACGGACATCGCCGAGCTGCGGAGTCGGGAGAGGAAACCTTCGAGGGGCCCCTTGGAGCGGAGGTATAGCAGGCCATAACCGTAGAACATGGCTCCCATGGCGAACCCGGAATACAAGGGGCTGTAGAGCAGGTCCATCGGATCCAAGAACGCGTACATCCGGGTCTTAAATGTCTGCTGCCCTGGCGTGGCCTCTATTTCTATCCGCACCTCCAGCAGCGACAGCATCAGGGTCACTTGGAGGATTAAGAACACGAAGCCGCAGCGATGGTAGCGAATACATCGGGATATGGTTTCAATCATTTTTTGTAATATTGTAAAATTTAGATTCTGGTCCAAAGTACTGTTTTAAAAATAACTCAAGCGCCTGCTTTTTTAGTTAGAAGTTTTTACGTTCATGAATATTAATTGGTAATTATTTGCATATTGATTACCGCCCCACATTTGGTATTTGGGTTTGCCTGAAAATTAAATTATATTTTATAAATTTTTTCTCGTTTTGTGCCTAAAGCTTGTCATTTGTGGCCTCATTTCATAAATGCCATCATAAATGCATTTTGGGACGAAAATTGATATTTGTTTTGATTTGGGCCACACAATTTTTAGCTAAAAATAATAATGCCATGAATACCTGAATTTCTATTTGCTTTTCATGACATTTATTGAATCCCATGATTTTCCATGTTACATTTTTGTGAAGCTTTAACAAACAGTTCCAAATTGAATCATGATTTTTCTTTTTAATAAATGCCGGAAACGCTGCAGACACGTTTGTACTTATAATCTTTTAATGAATTGAATATTAATTGGAATTAAAATAAAAAAATTTGATGTCTATGAATGGCAGACAAGGAGTTCTTTGTTTGCACTTGGGAGCTTTAATGAAAGCAAAGTAATTAACTTGACGAAGGACAAAATGGTAATTAAAAACCAGCCTAGGGCCGTCTTAATTATAACGTGATTACAATAGGTATTCAGATCAAAATTTATGACAACTACAGGCCAAAAATGAAATATTCAGGGTCTTGTAATTATTTTTATGAAAGCCACAATTAAAGCCATCCAAAAGGTGTCTGTCAAATCTCAGAGTAATTTATTTAAAGAATCTTTAAGTCAGAAACCAACTAAAGTAAAAGCACTTTTACTTTATGGTCATCATCTCCAGTTTCTTTTCACAGAATTCACTCTTAAACAGTCTGGAAATTTCAACAATTTTTGGTTTATTTTTCCTGTTTTTTAAAAAAACAGTTCAAAGCAATTAAAACGTAATTAAAAAGGATTGATTTCACAATAAAGAGAAAGACTCTCATTTTCTTACTTCTGTTTTTTCATTTCCTTATGGTGTCCACTCGAGGTAATGATGTTTTTACGAAGTCAATTACTGAATTCTGGACATTTTCATTGAGAGACTTAACAGGCACATATAAATATTTGTTTCCGGGATATTAAATATATTCATTACACAGTGCTGAGTGGGAGTTTTCTACAACTCACTAATGAAGCACATCGTTTCTAGGTTTAAAAACCTCAAGGGGAAACTTTGGCGGGAACTTGATGGGTCATTGGGGAGAAATAAAAGAAAAGCTAGGAAAATTGCGGCGATAACAGGCGGAAATGGAAAATATAAATATTTGTGACTAGTCAGTATTGCGTTTTCATAGTCTTTTTTAAAAAATAAATGCTGAATAGGCCAAGTGGTCTCAATAGTTAGAAGCAAATTCAATTTGAAAATCCACAGGGATCTTTTTTGTCAACAATATTTTTATGAAACAAAAAAATTCCTTTATTATATTCGGCACATGGAGTGGGAAAGTCAATAACTGGGACTGGGACTTGTTGATGGATTTGCTGTTAAGCTTTCTATATTGTTTGGCAGTCATTCAAATAAATTGTGGACATCACTAGATGTCATATATGCTGAGTACCCAAAGTGATGGGTTTTAGTTTTTCTTCCAATTAAATTTGGTCCAATAATGACTTATGCAGGAGATTGGGTGGGATTACCATCAACCTACCAGGGATATCCAAATCAGCATTGTTTATCTCTAGTAGGCTTAGCTTTCCATCAAAGACCAGATGGCCATGTCAATCCCTGTCGGAAAACATAAGGAAAATCAAAACGTGATGGGAAAAGTTGAAAGGGACTCTGATCGAAGCGGAAAACACACTGACATGCCCCAAAGGGTTTCCACTAATTTTCATTTAAAAACTAAGTGTTTATTTATAGTGCCATTCAATTAACGGGAACTTAAGATAACAAATTTAATGATTTAGTTATAATAGTAATTTTTTGTGGTCACTTATATTCTGTACCACTTTATCCACTTATGAGGGTACTCTGTCAAATGATGTGGCACATTGATGTGTTTGACGAGGGACAATTTTCCTGCACCTTCCTTATCATTTTTGCCACAAAAAAGCTATAAATTTCTTGATATTTTTGGGACAAGATGCGTTGACTTGTGGGCCAAATGAGTTTGTGATTTGAATTGCAAATGTGCAGAATTGATGTATTATGCATGCACATACACAATTAACTAAGAACTTTCTCTATAATACCATTTGAAATATTTAAAATATATACATTTGTAAAGACATCTTGTCAAGAATTTAAGTCTCCTGAAAGTGAAAGTTTAATCCATTCCGAAAGAATAAAAATAGAGTTTAAAATTTCCTCGGAAATCTATTTTTGTTCTCTCGTATCCATTGTGGCTTTATTTTTGCGAAATCTTGGCTACTCACTCGCATCTGCGAATATTCAGCAAGGAATCCAATATTTATCGTGTCCGACAGGCGACGGACGGAGGCAGCGGCTCCGGCGGCCAAAGGATTGCCATGGATCCTCTGACAGCCGAGAAGGACGAAGTAGACGCTACAGAATGCGGCTGTGGCAGTGGCATAGGCGGTGGAGTTGGTGGCGCGCATCCTTAACGGCATCAATGGCAATAAAGTTTTATTTTCAACGAAACTGACACCGTCACAGACGAGCACGCGGACGCGGATACAGAGGCGCAGGCGGGCACGGACCAGGACCTGAATCCGGACACTGGTTAACTCACAATCTGACAAACTGCACTTGATGGTCACTAGATTTCACATCTTAACCAGGACATGCCACTAAGATTGGTTTAGCTAAGTTCCATTTTTTCCAACAGGTGTGCCAGCGTATATCGTAATATCCTTAACCTGATCCGCTCCAAAATTCCGTATTTTGTTCCGGCAATTCAACACGGCCGTAGTCCGCCAGAGACTGTGCCTGTTCGTTGCCAGGCATCCGTGCTTTTATAGCCTCCGTGCTTCGTGTCCTTTGAGGGGACTCGTTTCGGCTTCTGGTTCGGAAAGTGGGGGGACGCGACAAAATTAAGTGGTCTATGAAATGGTCCGGACTCCGGACTCTGGAGATCAAAAAGGGACGAGAGGTGTATCCCAAGGACACTTGCCGTTGGTCAGTTGGCCAGGATGTGAAGGACTTTGTTTATTTGTTCCTGTTCCTGAGCCGAAAATCATTTGTTTTTTAAATTTAGAGTGACCCAGCGTTGACTTCTGCAGTCACGGAGGGTCTGCTAATGCTCCTTTCGTCGAGGACATTATTTATGTTCCTTCCTGATACTTATCGCAGGAAATGGTTAACATCACAAATTGCAATAATATTTCTTCAGGTAATCAAATAGTCTGACAGTCAATTATGAGGATAATCTTATTCGCATTTTGTCTGTTTACGTAATGGTTTTTCCGGGGAAGAATGAAAAATGATCTTATGGGAGGACTATTTTTAGACGAAAAGGTACTCGCTTAGGGTTAAATAAAAGCCCCAAAAAGGGCACCCGTTATCCTGTTGCGTTGCGTATCAGGTATTCAAGTTCAAGGCCATTAAGATTTGGGTAATGTTTTTGTTTCAGCGAAATCCGTACTTTGGTTGCCACAGCGAATGGTTTTTGTGGGACATTCGCACCGGAAATCAGAATGCAAATATCCGAAGGATACTATTTTATTGTATTCCAGGGAATTGTGGCAAAAAGCAACTTCGCGGTGTATTCCCATTAGCATGAATTGCGTTTTACAATTATTGTCATTTCATTGGTTTCGATTTCTAATTGAATTTCCTTAGGCATATCAATTGGCATCGCATAACATGTTACTAAAAGCATTCACATTTGTTTTTGACGCCTGTCTGGGGTTTTTATTTTCAATTGCTACGTAAGGAGCTCAATTTCATGTAATGGAGGTTCTTTTGAGGAATGGAACATGGCCTACAAATGTTTTATTTCGCCAGATCCCCAGACAACAATTATTTTACATGTCAAGTTAATTAATAATCTTTAGTATTCTTCTATACTCTTAAAGACAATGCCCCTTTCTAATTCCCATTCCCTTGAAAGAAATCCATATCAAAGACCTAAGTTCAATTTCCATGGTGGCTCAAAAATGTGATTCCAGTTAAGCTGATTGGTAACAAAGGTAGGCCAGGCCAAGCAGGAGCAAAAATTGAATTTTAACTCTTGCTGGGATGATTCCTGTGTCCTGTTTTCCTCGCAACCAAATGAATCTTCCTCCTCCTTGGAGTGGATGGTAGACACATTTGGGACCATGACGATTCCGTTTTACCTTTTGAGCAGCTTAAAAGGAAGTTTTTCGTTTCTCCTTGTCAAATAATAATAATACGTTCGACAAAAGCTGGGAAATGGGCAACAAGTTGAAGTTTCCTTCATGCAGAAAATATGAATTGCCAGAATGCCTGAATACGGAAGCCGGTGGAGATTAATATGATAATGTGATAAACATTTTATAGAATGACACATTTATTTTCGTTCAGACGTGAAATCAGAATTGTCAGAAGTTGTCCGCCAACAGACATTTCTATAGAACTTTAAACACAATTCCCATTCAAATTGAAAAACTGATTGGATTTTATTGAATGTGGCCGGAAACTTTTCATCTTTCAGGGGAATTAAATTTTGCAGAGAGAGTGAAGAGAGTTTTCTTAGAAATATTTGTAGATGCTAGATATTAGATTTAAAAGCTTTTCCAGCCATTAAACCCACTTAATGATAGTTATAGAGCTCAGAGTTTATTAAAAGTTTATTAAAACTATTGAAATGGAAAACTTTCTGGCAATCAGCAGGTGCATGGAATTTTCCATTTAAACTCGCGTGGCCAAACAGAATAATTAACATTTAAGTTTATGAGAATTCTGCATTTTATATATATACAAAGCCCCCTTTTTAAAACATCCACATAAAAACATTTACACAAGACAATGAACAGAAAACTGCAAATGTTGATACCGTTGGAGGGTCTCATGGTCGCTTGAGGGTTAAGTAAACAGCCGGGGGCCGGAAAAAGTTCCAGGGCGGACTGTGTTTTTCCATGGCTTGCAGTATAAACACCACATAAAAAATTCTCCCAGCGGCTAGTTGTGATTGCCGGCCAACGTCCTTAAAGGGCTTTAGGAATTAAGAGGAATCCTGTGAAAGGAGTGACAAATGTGGGAGTTATGCAGGTGGGAGTCATCCGGGTGATTTGGCTATTTTTAGCCAGACACATAAATAAACAATTTTCTTATAGTTTTCAGAAGCTTTATATAGTTTATTTATATACAATAGGCTTGTAAACTTAGTCGAGTAAATGCTGAACTATTGGCTCCTTTTTCCAAGCTTAATTAAGTTTCAAAATTCGTTATTTCTTACTGATAGTGGGCCAGAGCATCCTTGTTGATGACGCCGGCATAGCTGGTGTACTTTGGAGATGTTCCGTTGAGGGCAATGAACTGCTCCGCCACCTCCACAGCCACACGGACCTGGGCCTCCGCGGTACTGGCCCCCAAGTGGGGAGTGGCCACCACCTTTGGGTGGCTGATAAGGGCCTTGGTAACCGCAGACTTTGGCGGCTCCTCGGGATAAACGTCGAAGGCAGCTCCGGCCACCTTGCCAGACTCCAGGCCGTCGAGGATGGCCTGTTCATCGATGATGCCTCCGCGGGCCACGTTGACAACTTTGACGCCCTGCTTGCACTTGGCCAGGGTTTCCGAGGATACGAGATCTGCGATGGTAAATAAATTTCATTTAAACTTTAGAATTTAATATGTTGCCAATGGAGAATGGACTCATAATAGTTGTTATTAATATCATTACTTACTTCTGGTGGCCGGAATCAGGGGCGTGTGCACTGTAATGTAGTCCGCCAAGGGCCAGATCTCTTCCAGAGTCATTTTCTCGATGCCCGCCGCCTTGGCTTCCGCCTCCGTGGTAATGGGATCGTATCCAATAATCTGGAAAACACTCAGCCGTGATTTAGGGTTACACCTGAATTAAATAAGCTCCACTAAGGAGTGCGGACTCACCCTCATGCCCCAGGTCTTCATGCGAATGGCCACCTCACGTCCAATCCTGCCCAGTCCAAGGACGGCCAGTGTTTTTCCGTACAGCTCGGTGCCGCTGTAGAGCTTCCTGTCCCAGCGACCCTCCTTCATGCTCTGGCCGGCGGGAACGACGGGGCGGGCCAGGGCGCCAATTAGGATGCACGTCAGCTCACAGGCCGAAATGGAATTGCCACCCGGAGTGCTGAAAGCGCCGAGACGAGACTTTAGTTAAACATTCCCTAAATACTCTGTGATAGACAGTGGCTAAAATAGAGTGGCAAGGGGGTGTCGTTTGTTGTGACTAGACAGCATTATGCAAATGCTTTTCCAAAAAAAAAAAAACAAATACAGGAGCAGCTAGAGCGAAAAATATGGCAATTTTCGCGCTCGCCTCCCGTATCCTTGGCAATGGGGGTGGGGTGCCAGCATCCTGCATCCCGACTGTGAATTCCCTTTGTGGAGATTCGGGAGTCCCTTAATTATGCGTGTCAAACGACGTCAATTGACCCAAGTCATGATTCTGGCCAGGGTCTGAGGTTACGATGCGATACCAGCAGCCAATCCCGCGTTTCAGAATGCGCATAATTATTTCTGATATTGGGAAAAATAAGCTTAGCACTGTGAAATGAATTATTAAAATTTTGGTTGGGATTTTAATTAAATTCTCAGTAGGTTTTGGTTCAATAAGTTAGCTTGTGTATGGATATTGGTACAGAATCTAATAAATAGATCTTTTTTTTTAGAAATATATTCACAGTGTAGCTTAAAATCCCTTTGTCGGCCTGAGTGCACCCAGGGCTTACGTGGGCACTTACTTAAGGACAACGACATTATGCGCCGTCGCTGCAGGGACATCGATGTTATCAACGCCCGCCCCGGCACGGCCCACAACCTTAAGACTGCCAGCTCCGGCGGCCAGGACTTCCGCGGTTATTTTCGTATCCGAGCGAACGATGGCCGCATCAAAGTTCTACAAAATGAATAAATTTAAGCAATTAGCAGCTGCTTCAATAAAATTATTTACAAAATTCTTAGGTCGAAGAGGGTTTTTTATTAGCAATTGCATCCCATAGGCATCCCATAATTATTTATTTCTCGGAAGAGAGTTGGTTTGTTTATCGAGGCCAACTTCCAGTTTTATGGGAGTTGAATTACCAATACGGTTTATTGGCCATTTCCAGAAATTTTTGGTACCGCTTAGAATAACATGGTTAATGTTGAGCAAACATGGTCTGATGAACAATTGATTTGATAAGAACTTTTTAGATTACTTCCAATATAAAATGGTGATAATAATGTCTAGCATCTCGTGTCGGGTGTTTATCGCTTTAAGTTGAATGGCACATATTTTCGTTTAATTTCAGTTTATATTCCATGTCAGTCGGTTTGTTTGATGGTTTGTTTTGATTTTCAATTAAAACTGTGAAATCATGTCAATTAAAAGTAACCAAAAATATTTCTGAAATGGGTCTGTTTAAACATTGAATGAAAAAGGAAAAAAAAAACATTTTAGGGAGTCACTCGAAAAAATATTGTTCATCCAATTTATCTGTTTTAATCCCCATTTAAATTCCTTTTATTTCAAATCCTAATTACAATTCCCAACAAAAAAACTAATAAGCAAAAAGAATGGAGAGTGTGTGAGACAGATTAATTTTAATTACATCGGATTATGGCTATTGATCTGTTTATAATTATTAAGAAATTGTTATTTGAATGCCAGGCCAAATGAATACTGCTGATAATTTACATTGTAGTACCGCCAAGTTGCTATGCAGGTAGTATTATGTAATCACTTTTCACAAACAGATATTGTTTTTCCATTTCTCACTTACAGATTACAGAATCTAAAGCCGCACTCGAGTCTGAATCAAAAGCTTTCAATTACACAGGATTTTCTCTTACGAGTGCATTCTTACATATTTTTTGTGCTCCTGTGAGAGTTATCCTTAAGCCACTTACCTTCACTTCCTGGCATAGCTGCTCCACGGGGAGTTTCAGTTTGTAGGTAACCTAGTCGAAAAATAAATGGTAAACAACGTTGATTAAATTGTGCAATCAATTAAATGCAAGTATGTATATTACGTTTGTCTACCACCTAAGCACATTGAAAGATTACTAAGTAGAAGACAGTGCGGTCTTGATGGCTTGCTTTGAATTTATACATTTGATTTTATTGCATGTTGTTAAAGACTTAATTTCGTCCAAGCTAAGCCATATAATTTTCTATATAATATCCCTATTCATTTTGAAGAGAGACCACTGTACTTTCCCGCACTTGTATGGGTGTAATCGTTTTTTCCCTTCCCCACTTGTCGCCGGAGGGAATTGCAGTAACTTACATTAATGCCATGCTGTTCCAGCAGCTCGACACACGACTTGTCCACCGCATCGCAGACCAGAACGTTCTTAATTTTTAGAGGCATACTTTCAATTTTATTTCTGATGGGCTGATGTACTGGGTATTTGAATTTAATAATTTAATTTTTCGCCAATCACTTTTTGCACGTTTCGCACTGCTGAGCAGACAAATGGAAGTGACTTGGTGAGCGAGCACGACCGGCCATCGAACCTGACTTTGAAAGCTTCGGCCCCAATGCAGGCGATCGTTGTTCGTTGTTTGTGTTTTTCGGTTGATAACCGCCTGGAATGAGCAGGAAAGAGAGTCCATATCATGCCCCACAGCCCCAATGATCGCCCTCTCTTGGGGTCTCTCTTCCACACCTACAGGTCTTATTTTTGTGAGTGTGTCTGTGCCTCAAGTTGTTTTTCAAACGCGATTCGGTTTGGCATTAAAAACAACAACATTAACCCATTGGTGTTATCGGGGCAAAAAACATACCATTTTTATATGCCAACCCCCATTAGTAAAAATTGTATTTCATATTTTCAATATTTTTATTGTATTTGCTTTTATTTGCAATTTAGCTTTCATTTAACTACGTATTTTCCAAAAACATACGGAGAACAACAATCGAAGGCGGAAAATTAAACAAAAACCAAATGGCGGCAGAAAATCTTCTGATCCATTCAAAATAAGAATATTACAAAGTTCATTAACTAAATATTTTCATAACAAATTCAAATATCATAAACTATTTACATACAACTCTTGGAAATTGTTGATTGGATTTAAATTACTGGTTTTCACATTATTTTAATGTTTTTGTTTTTACATTATGTATATTTTTTTTTTGCATGTATAAAATATTTAATATAAATTGGGATTTGGATTGATATTTCCACTATTATTTTGTGTTGGGCCTTTTGTGGGGGAACTTCTTGATTAATCATAATATTTTCCATTAGAATTATTGATTAGGGAATTCTCAGGCGTGCTTTTGTCAAACAGATTTTCAAATTTCTTCTTCTGCTTAACATTTGGAATTAGGCGAAAAAATAAAGGTTTGCTTCAACTTTAATTATACCCTTGCAGAAGGCATTAAATTCAAAATTATCTATTATCCTTTCATTGGTCTGATGATTTCAACAAGTCTTTACTATTGGCATTATAGAATCGATCAAGGATTTAATAAAATTGCAAGGGTATAAGAACTTCGACCTGCCGAAGTTGCTTTAATCATTTTATTTTTTACTAAAGTGGCTTGAAAAGTAGAGAAGTTGTTACCGCTAAATTTAATTATATATAGGCGTATTCTTTTTAAGATTTCGGTATTTTGCTATAAAATTTGTTTGCATTTTTGTGTTTGAGTTTTTTTAAGAGTGTCTACAAATTTAAATTGATTGGCTTTAGTATTTTTATGTTTTATTAAATGGAAATAAGAATTGATTATTACAAAAAAATTGCTATATATTATAAGCAAACCAGTTTGTTTTTGTTTTCATTGTTTTAATATTTTTTGGTTCAAAAATTTATGCGGGCAGCGAGCCCTGGGGACATTTTTGTCCATCCGATCAGAAGGTTATGTACTGGAATTTGTGAATTTATCAAGTTTAACTTTCTGAAGTTTTATCGAAAAAAAAAAATTCGAGTTTAGAAATTTAAGGCATCTTACAAAATATCATCAACATATTCCTATCAAATCTGATGAAATGTTTGTGGCAAAGTTCGCTTTACATTTCCTTTAACTGGGATTATCTATTAGTTTTATAGTTTTAGTATTTTGTTTTTATGATTTTATGGTTTCTGTTTTTTACGCTTACAAAATGCCGGCTGATGTATCTGTATCGGTTTAAATTTTGTTAATTATGGTAAGAACGCACATACTCATGTATAAATCTCTATGTACTTTTATATATGTGTGTATCCATTTATATTATATTAATATATATATATATCGAATTACCAGTTCTGTGAATTATGTGCAATTTTCTTAACTACACACTCGCAACTGTTGTTGTTTTTTTTAACTTAGTATTCCGTTTGTCTCCTTCTTAACACCAAAGGATCGTATCTAGTTATATTTCTCAACTTTATGCTAGTATTAAAAAGTAATATTTCATTTAGGTATAGCTAATACATAGATCATATTTGTTTTCCACTTTTTACAAGAAGTGCTTGCGTATCGTATGTTGCTTTTCGTTCTTTGGTTTTTATTTGTTATATAATTTTTTCTGCTCTTTTTTTAAAGCAACCCCAGTGCCTTGACCAACCCCATCCCTGAATCCATAAGCCCAAGCTCTCGATCGGCAGGGAAGAGCATAAATACAATCCCCAGGAATACGAATTTCGAAAGACAGCTTTACCAATTACATGTATGATAGTCACCTTTTTTTGATTTTTAAAATAACCTGCCTGATTTCTGAGCATTTTCTTTGGTGGATGTCATTTTCAGATACTTTCCAAATATTTTGTAACAATTCTATGTATCGTGTGTTTTTCAAAAATTGTAATTATATCACCTTGTATCTCTTATATCAAAAAGTACTAGATTCTTTTAAATATTTGTTTATCGGACCATGGCCTGGCATGGTCTGTCTTCTACGTAGGAGTGCACCATTTCACCGACTACGTTCCCCAGTAATTTCGGTTTCTATCAGTGTAGTCTTTGGACAGTAGGATGGGTTCTGCAGGAGTGCTTACAGATCAAATAGCTATACTCTTCAATACGTACTCCAGGTGGTGGCGATCGATTTGAATGCAGTGCGGTTCATAGTTGTAGGGTTCGACATAATTTAGCATGGTGGTTGGAATTGTAAAAGGATTGCTCGCTCGGAATGGGCCAGATCAACGATTCTCGTCTCTCGACATTACGATTTTTAACTAACAACAAACCTTGAACAATAATTTTGACGCATACGATGTGGGGGTGTGTTTCGAATGATCTACTTTCGGGATCCTGGGAGGAGTGGTGTGTGCTTCTGAGATACTCGATTTGATGGTTAATAAGGCACTGGTAGTTTAAATCGCTATACCCAAGCCGGGGTCAGGATTTTCTTTCTTGTACCCTGACCCTGGCTGGAGGCTTGTTCGCGGGCAATCCAACATTGCAGCCGCGGACTGTGCGCTTTTTGGCAGGTGTGTGGCATGATATGGTGCAACAAGGTATCTAGGTCGAAGAAAGTATTGCAGTTGGAGAAGTTAATGACTGAGGGACAGTGCTACTCAAGATTTAAAATATAGAAATGTTAGAATATTCTTACTAGCAGGTGTTGAACTTCTCAAAGATGATATTACGTGGCTATTCAAAAAATATATGATGGACTGGAAGTTGCTTTTATAAAGCACTGTTCCCGACTCTATGATGATAGCATCTGGAATTGTGGGCTTAAGAAATGTTTATGATTGATTGCATTCTAGCAAGGGTTTCAATTTAGATTGGGAGTTTCAGACATCGATTTGAGATTAAAGAGATTTCAATCGGTTCACAGTCAACGGAGTGTGTGTGTTGTGTGTTCTTGTGGGTGTGCTTGTGTGTGTGGCTTGACTTAGATTAAGACACGTTCACTAAATTATTAAAGCTGACACTTATGTATGTACTTAGTCAATCGATTGCATAACAAATACAAGACCCATTGTGGGTGCCAACAAATATTGTTGGGTGGCTGCGGGCTGCTCCTTTTAATCATTAACTTCCTTTTAACGGGACCTGTCATCTGTCACTAGCTTAACATTAGGCTTAGACCATTTAATTTAAATTCACATTATTTAAATAAAATCTGATTACACTTAGCTATATAGCATTTAAGACACATAAGGCCCCACTTGGCATTGGGCTGCTTCTGGTTCTCCTGGCTTTCAACGCTCACATCTCTCTGTGTTTCTCCGAGTGTTTTTTTGTCAGTGTACTCGTGTGTGTATCGTGTAGTGGCTACCGAATGGAACATTTACAAATGTGTGTTTGTGTTTTGGCACTGCTGCAATTTGCTTTTGCTAACCTGCCCTGCCCCCCAAAAAAAGTCATCCTAACCGAACCGAAGCGGGGTGACTGGGGCGGACTGAAATCTCTTTAATAAAACCGATCCGTGCTCAGGATGTCCTCCTCGTCCTCCTCCACGATTATCTTGTTGCGAATGGCGTGCGTGACAGCCTCGACCTTGCTCATGGTGGGGCTGAGGAACTCCTCCCTCAGCGAACGTGGCGGGTGGGCGAAGGAGGTGTCCTGCACGGTGTAGCGATACTGGGACGGGGCGTGACCATGGGACTGGGGATCGTACCGCGGTGCCGGCATATACTGGCTATGGGACCGGGTCTGGGTAAACGACTGCGGCTGGTGGCGCAACGGGAAGAGCTCTCGCCGAGATCGGGGCTGACCCATGGCGGTAGGACCGGCAGAAGTCGACGAAGAGGACAGCCACTGAGGGTCCAGGCTGTACTGGCGCGGCAGGAACGCCATTGAGGGCCGGCTCGTCGTGGTGGTGGTGGGCAGCGACGACTGCCTGGGCAGGGACTGAGGTCGTGGCTTGGCTCGGGAATAGGACATGGGCATGGACATGGGCAAGGAATGCGGGTGCCGGTGGGACTGAGACTGGAGCGGAGGCTGAGACTGAGACTGAGGCTGGTGGCGGTGGTGTATCGTGTCAAGATCAAAACTATTGTCGCGTGCTTCCATCAAACCTGGCACTCTCGCATCGATCTGATCCCACCCCTATATCCACGATTCCTACATGGCATTCAGCATTCTCCTACTACTCCCACCACCTCTGTGCGGACTGTATTCATCGCGATCGACAACGGTGGCGCCGCGCGGCAGGTCTCTTGGGTCGTCGATCCGCGTCGAGGGGCCATAGCGGGAGCTGCTCATCCTGAGGTGCGCCTCCTCGCGATCGAAGTCCTGGTCGTCCAGCAGCCGACCACCCCGGGATAGGTGGCCGTGGTGGGAGGCGCCGCTAGGACCGCTGCGCATGGCGGGATACTCGAAGTTCCGTTCGTCCAGGAGCTCGTCGCTATTGAGGTCGTAGTGCATGAGGTCCCGTTCCCGTCGCTCGTAACGCTCTCGCTCCCGCTCTCTTTCCCGTTCCCGCTCGCGGTCCCGTTCTCGGTCACGGTCCCGTTCGTAGCCGCCGCCGGCGCCCACACCACCTCCTCGCTCCTGGTGGCGCACCGAGGTCGGCTGACGGCGGCTGTGATGGTAAGAGGTTCCTCCTGCAAAATGGCCAACACAGGCAATTAGTCAAGATGTTAATTAGGGGCGGTTCATTGAAAATTGTAACGAGAAACCAAAATAACAAAACCAGAACTAAAGCATTCAAATAGGTCAGGGGTCATTATAGGCGATAAAAGGGGGTCAGGTCATCAGGCCAAGGCAAACGGGGCCATCAGAAATAGGGCTGCATATAGATAGAGTGGGGTGTAGAGTTCTCTTTAATACCTGGAGCTACAGGTTTCATTTACAGGGAAATTGATTTTTATTTAATTTAATTTAAAATTAAAAGTAAAAGAGAATTATTACAATATCTTCTTTTTTTTCTTTAGAAGCCTAGGATATCGTAGGAACCTATTAATCTTTGTAAATACTTTCTAAGAAATACGTCAAAATTAAGATAATTGGCAACTTATTTAGAAATGTAAAACTATAATAAAAATTTTTTTAACATTTTTTTTTTTGTTCTTTAAAGTTTCTAAAAACTAATTTAAACTGAATCGTATACCTAAGTAACGAAAAACTTAATTTTTATTATATATTTATCTTTATTTTACTCCTATTCTATAATATTTATAGGTTTTCAAAAAAGAAAAAGGACAAAAAACAAAAGAAATGAAAACCCTAGCATACTTTTTGCGTGGCATGGGTTCCAGGGATAGTTTCAGGACGGCATTATTAGAGTTAACTAAAATAAATGAATATGTAACACAAGAACACATCACGGGAGGTGTAGTACTCACTAAACCAGATCTAAATAATTGGATGAATATTTTGTTTTTAATTTCTATTGGTAACTTGGTATGATGAAAACATAAGGATCGACAACAACGGAACACAACAGGTAAATCTATTATATAATTGAGTTGAAAACACCCGGAAGAATGTGAAAAACGAGTAGAAGAAGGTGGCGAAGTTCGCGGCAGTTTAGAGGCGCACAACACCCGGAGTAACTACAAAACAAGTACAGAGTACAGATCAGTCGGTGGAGACAAACGAAAAGATGTATTCGATTGGTGATCGATTGTTTCGATTGATGTCGGATGTTCGATAGAAGCGCTGGGGGTATCTGATATCGTTGATATCGCTATTAGATTAGTCGGTTAGTAGAACTCAAACAGCAAAGTGGAAATCTTAGTTGAGCTAAAGTTAGAGGGATTCTAAGAATTTTCTGGATCTCAACTGAGATTCTGGGCAAAGAGTTGTACTTGTGGAGATCGTCGGAGATGGTCGGTCGGTGAGGGCTTTACTTATTCCATTTGATTTGGTTTTTTCGGATACGATTTGTCTTTGGCTTTGTACTTTGTTGAGTTGATGTCGCTTTTAGTGTTGGTCTTGTTGGTGGTTGGATTTGAAATTCAATTGGTTTATAGCATAGTCGAAAAGGGACCGGGTATGTCGCGTGCTGTGAATGCTGTAAAGTGTGTGGCCACAAAAGAATAATAGATGAAAAATAAAATGAAAGTTTAGGGTACCGGAGTCGCTGTATATACACAAGGTGTCTCTAGAAAGCGGGATTTGCAAATACGATGTATATTATGCCATGATCTGTAGCTACATACAATCGATGGATGGAGTGGAGATGTGGGAAACAGTAGCTACTTTCGGTGACTACTTCTGGACTCATAGATACACTTCTATTCGATTATTTTACTATCTAGACTTTAAGTGAAAGTACAGGACCCATACAAGTTTTCTTTAAAATACAATTTCCAATCTTGAGGCAAGAATTTACAGTTAAAATAGTATTGGTAAAAACGGAAACGGAAACGAAAAGAAAGGAAAGCAAAGAGTAGAAATGAAATTTACCTTGGTCCCAATCGAACTCTCTATCCCAATCTCGTTCCCGCTCTCTCTCCCACTCGCGAGCCCGCTCCCGCTCCCACTCCAGATCCCTTTCCCGCTCCTTGGAGCTGCGATCCCGGTTGAACTCCCGATCCCAGTAGTCTCGCTCCCTGTCCCTTTCCCGCTCCCGTTCCCTGCTCCCGCGGTCCCTCTCTCGACTACCCTCACGTTCTCCGCCGGACATCCCCATCCTGGGATCCTGCTCATCGATAAACTCCTCGCCATCTACTGCTCAGAGACGGATATTGAAAGGGGAAGAGAGAACCAGAACGAGAATCGATTGGTTTATTGGTACAGTCATGGGAATTTGAATTTGAGAAAGACACATTTTTAGAATTGTATTTTGTATAATAGTGTTGAGTAAGTATGTTTGAGAAGCAAATGAAAATCGTTTTACGCTGATCTGATATCGATATACATACAATAGCCATGTACATATATGGATATATACACTGATAGATATGTGTGTAATGGGTGGGGGCTTGGATCATCTTCAATGGGGCAATGGGTGACTCTGATTTCGATATCGATATTGATTTCGTTGAATTTTCGTATGTTATCGGGGGGCTGGGTGGATTCGCGTTTATGAGAATGGCAATGCGACCTTGGATGAGCCCGAGCGGGCGGGCAGGTGTGGCTTTACCTGGTGGCGTCGGTCCCAGACGTGTCGGATCGGCGGAGGGCGAGGCCTCCTGAGGCAGGGGGCGGGCGATGGGCGGCACTGCTCGTATATCCGGATGTGTGGCCTTCCAGTAAGTCTGTAATAAAATTGTTTACATTAAAGAATACAATTTTGCCATTTATTTGTATAAGAAAATTTTTTTTAAGCCAACTGTGCGTATACGTAATTTTTTAATACAGCCGCAGTATGACAGATATAGGTGCCTATATGGCCCACAGTAAAGACTATGTCTTCTCCAGTTTCCAATTCAGGCGAAGTACCTTAAACAATTTCTAGATCGATTCCCCACCATTTTGCATCAAAACCCTGAGACAAAATATATTTGAGATTTTGTGTCCATTTTTCATGATGGATCCCTTGAAAATGGGGTTTTCCCTTATATGGTCCACAGCGATGGCTATATCTTCTCCAATTCTCATCCGATTCTCAATCGGAGTACCTTAAACGATTTCTGGATCGATTCCCCACCATTCTGCATCAAAATCCTGAGACAAAATATTTTTGAGATTTTTTGTCCATTTTTCATTATGGGATCCCTTAAAAATGGTGATTTCCCATGTATGGCCCACAGCGAAAAATATTTTTTATATTTTTTGTCCATTTTTTGTGATGGGATCCCCTAAAAATGGGGGATTCCATGGAAAATATTGATCGAATATAATTGTTTGAGATTTTTATGCATGAATATGATGGAAAATGAAAATACAAATCGTTTGAGGTACTGCTCTCTTGAATCAGATGCATATTGCGCAGAATATCCATAAGACACCTAACAAAACTCACCTCCAAGTACTCGGCAATGTGCTCACAAGCATCTTCCAGCTGGTTTTCATCTAGGATTACATCGAACATATCCGGTGGACATTGGGCTAACTTCTCGGCGGCAACCATTTGAACGGAGAGGTTTTTCGCCTGCGACTTGCCGCGTGATTTGATCAAACGCTGTAAAACCTATGGAGAGAAAGTAAATAATGAAAATTCGAGATTAGAAGGGATTAGAAGGATCTAGAAGCTTACCTTACTACTGCTAATCTTTAAGTACACTATTGTTGGCGCTAATGAAGTTTTCGCTAGTTGTGACGGATGATTGATTGTATCACAATCGAGCACGACCAGCTGAAGGGAGCGGGCCAGCTCGAAGATGCGCTCGATCTCCTCCTGAACCTTGCCGAGGCAATCGCTCCGGCTGGAGGAGCGCTCCATGATGGCCCGCTTCGAGGGATTGTTCATGATGGAGCGCTTGGCCAGCGAAATGTCGGCCATCACCCGGGTGATGATGATCCTGCCTTCGAAGCGGTGCTTGAGGAAGTCGAAGAGGGCCTTCTGCATCATGTCCGTTACCTCGTATCCTTTCAGGCTGGGTCCCACCAGGACAACGGGTCGCATCGAGGGCACCACATCGTAGGGACTGGCCGTCTCCTGTTTCTTGAAGAAGGGCTTGCGCTTCTCCTTGTTCGCCGGCGTCGCCAGCGGAGTCTTGCCATGTCGTCCTGGTCCCATGGAATCTGATTCGTCACCTGAGCGTTAGTATCAATGGCAAACAGGACGAGATAATGGCAACGGATGAGCGAGATTATGATTGGTACGAGCCAGTGCGATCGATCAGTACGAATTGCTAGGCCAATTTATTATATATTTTAATATAATATATATTAAATACTAAAGACACGTGTGGTTTAGTAAGTATATACAGTTTGTCAGATCAGCGATCTGATCCTTGGTGTTTTGTGGAATTTGACGTGTGTTTTTGTAGTGCCAGGTTGGTAATTAGATTTTAAATTTTTGGATTGATTTTGAACTTTTTTTGGATCTGCTCTACGCACCAGTAAATGCTGTTCTCGAGGGTGAGGATTCTACCTAAAATGTATCTTATCTATTCGAACATGATAATCTAACACATATCTCTATGACTAAGTTAGTTACTTGTCTAACAACGGGTTCTAATAACATTTCTAGCAGTGGGTTCTAGTTATATTTGAAAGTTACATAAAGCGAGGATTTTACACAACATAGAACAGTGTGGTTTTCTAATCAATTTTAAGCTGTGTCTCCTGTGTTTTTATGTCTTTGAATAGTTAAGATTTTCTTATAGTTTCCAAAACAGTTTTTGAATAATTTAAATTTTAAACGGGTCTGGATAGGCCTCAAAACTGTATCAAATTGTTTACCAATTTATTCTTCTTGTCCTGCAACCCTGTAGGATTACTCGACTAGCGGTAGGATCTGCGATTGAAATGGATTTCTGAGGATCTGATCTGATGAGAGACATTGACAAACCTGTTTTCTTCTTGCGCGGTGTTGTACTGTAGGGATCTTTGGTTGCATTTTGTGTGTGTTAGACGAAAAGAGATTTTTTTCAGTGCAGTTAATAGTGTTCACTTGGCTAGGGATAAATTCACAAGCAGACCATGAGGCGAGGAGCTTAGATTTGGACAGAGGTAACGTGCCTAATTCAAGCTTGTAAGAGTGTACTTTGGTGTATTGTTTTCTTTTGTGGTTTTTGGTTTTTATATTATATTTGGAAGGGGTGCCGATATCCTGGAGAATTCGACTATTCGACATGCGGGACAACTAGGTCTAGCTCTAGGCCGATATATCTTGACCGTTTCGCTGGACTGGGTTCGGTTTTTGCAGCGAATTGCCAGGTGAACTCAATAAGCATACAAATTGCAAGTTGCACTCTTTTTATGGATGTCGCATGATTCATAATAATTAGATCAAACACAAAATTACGAAATTACGGGAATTTTGATTGGCCCACTTTTGTTCTCTGATTTTTGGTTCGCTTCAAATGAAATCAAAACATAAAAAACACGCCTCCAATTACAATATTACAGCAATTACATCGACGAGCCGCGAGTCGGGCTCTGGATCCTTCAGTTGGACCTATGCGGAGTATACACTCTCTCTCTCGAAGGACTTCCCCTCTGGAGAAGAGGAAATGCCTTCGTTGACGTTTTACAAAAGTATAAAAACACATTACATTGAAGACAGCGAATAAATAAAATATACAGATTGAAATTAATTCGATTCACAGATAGATAAATAGATACGAAATAAAACCTCACAAAAAAAGAAATCAGGAGAATGAAATGTGTGTCATACCAGGTGTGGGGGGTGTGCTACCTCGAGATGGCTCCGCACCTGCTTGTCCGCCCGCACCAAGATTCCCGCTCGACGAGCCCTTTGTGCCATACAGTCTTGAGGGTCTGGTTTGGTTCTAAACAATCATAAAAGCAATATTAATAAAGGTAACTCAGATTGGGTGTATTATGGTTTCAGTAACCAAGTACAACCTGCATGCGAATGTTGTCTAGCTTAGCGGGGCTGGGTATGAAGCCCACATCACAGCCCTCCTTGACCAGCCGGCCGATCCACCAGTTATTGTCGTACTTCTCTTTGATGTGCAGGAACTCCCGGATCTCGAACGAAACAGCTCCGCCCTGGACGGGCGAGTCGTCGTCAATGGTGCCATCGTATGCTACGTTGGTTCGCACAGCGAACGCCACTGGTTTGCTCTGAAATTGGCAATAATTTAATAAGTATATCCACGAAAATGACGAGCTAAGGTTGCCAAGTAACAAGTATATGGGATTTTAGCTCACCCTCGCTTTATCCAACTGGCTTAAGGCCTGACGTTCCTTTTCTCGCCGAAGCGATTCCTTTTCCTCGTCTAGCGACAGATCGGATGACGGTTGTGAGTAGTTCGAGTCGGCAGAACCCTGAAAAATACAACAAAATAAGGTCAATATAAGAGATTACTGTGCCCCTTGATGGATGCATTAAAGAAAAATTAATTTTTCCGACCATCTGTAAGCTGAAAATCCAAACAAATTAAGTTGGCCCGCCGCCAAGCAGCCCAAATGTCTGGCTTTTATGGTTTTTGCTTTTGTTGGCCAGAACAACGCAACAGTTGGTAGTAAATATGTGGACCATATTCTGACCATGGAGAAGGCTAAATATTTGGGAATGATTCAAGACCAAAAATTGATTATTTAAATCAATTAGGAGAGCATTTTTAATGTATACATTATTAAGGTTTATCTATAATTAATTATGATTGGGAAGGTATGGGATAAAGAGAATACCCCCCAAGGATTCAACAATATTTCCTCTTTCAGCACCTGTGTGAATAGTTTGTTGTATCCACTCTGGTAGGACGGGTATCCAAGGCCAAATCGAGACTCTCGATGATGGCCGCCCTGTACGGAGGGTGCATCCGAGGAGGATGCGCGCTGCACCATGGGCCTGTCAGCCCGGTAGTCTTCTTCGAACGAAGATATCTTGCTGATGTTTGTGACGACACGGTGCAACAACAGCGGCGGCACGAGCAGCAACCACCCACACCAACGGCTGGTGGGATGATTAGGGATTTTCCGGTGGCGGTGGTTATGGTGACAGCGGTGCTTGTGACGGTGAGACGGTGGCAAGACGGTTACGTATTTGCCAAAGGTGTCAGTTACTTTCTTCTTGAGGTGGCTTTTTCTTATAAAAATATCGAAGACGACTCTAAGACTATCCTATCAGTTGGATTGTGATCAGCATTGATTTGTAATTGTGTAAAATTTATTATAAAATCACTCGCGCACCGACAGCTCACTACTTTTGGCAGGAAATTAGTTTGCAATTATTGTTGCAGCTTATTGATTCGACTGGCTTTTCAGCATTGACATTGGCAATATTTGATTTAGTTAGACAATAGTAATCATCGGGCCAAAACGAACCCGATTCTGACACTGACACATAAACACCGACCCCAACACACACACACACGCACACACTGGCTTGGGGCGAGGGTGCGACTGAGACGGGGCGATTGTCAAAACGGTTTGGAAGCCACGGGCCCAGAGAATAAGTTAAAAACTGTTAACTGGAAGGGATTTCCGCACAGGTCTGCGGGCTTTCCTGGACTAATTTCAGCACAATTTGCATACGGCTGGCGAATTGATTCCGTATCGGTCGGGATATCGCCGCAGGGAAGTTAAAAATAGGAATTTATGTCAGTGGCGTCGAGTCGCGTTCCTCGGCTCTCCGCTCTGCTCACATCACTTTTTTTTCTGGTATATGCACACACACAGAGTCTACTGGAAAACTCGCGGAGGAGGGCGGAGGACGAGAGGAGGTGGTCGCGAAAAGTGATTTCAGTTCGAGCGTGGCCGTGTTTTTCTTTAATTTCTACGCTAATCCTTGATATTTCCCACTATATCCTTTTTTTCCCGATTTCACAAGCAACTACGGCTGGACATCACTCGATTCAGATATCCCCTATTTTCTATTTGAATTCTACAAAAACGCCTTTCCGACATTCAAACGGTTCTACTCCGCACGCAAACTGAAAACTGAATCGTTTCTGTATGTGGAAGGCGAAAAGTCTGCTCCGCCACGGGAAAATCGTGTAGAGTTTTCTCGCCTGCTTCCAGTGCGTAAATGCTCCACTCACTGTGTTCGATGTTGTACAAAATACATTCCCTCACCCCACCCCCCCCAGCCACGGGCAGGCTGGCGGAAAATCAAAAACACACACAGACATTCGAACGGAATGTAAACAAATTTTGATTTCAAGTGCAGACACTCGTCTTGGGCCCACTGTGCGCCCGGAGTTGTTTGCGCCACCAAAGGGTCCACCACCCCCCAACCGCCCACTCCCCGCGGTAGTAAAATGAGCGCGCTGGTCAGCGATGTGCGTCTGGAAAATCGATAGCACCAAGCGCTTTTCCGGACGCAAAGGGTGGAGGGCGGGTGCTGATGGGGTGTCCACCTGTTGGCAAGCCCGCCAGTTCCAAAAGGGTTACAGCTGTTGGGCCAAATCCTTGAATGCTCTCGGAAGGGCTTAAGTGTCTTAAAGGACAATTCCCTTATTTTATAATCTGGAGAGTGCTTTGCATTCCTTTTTCAACACTTTTGGGGCATAAAATCTAAAGAAACTTGGAAAATCATCAGCTTGATGCTGTCACTACTTCGGACTACGGGGCGTATGAGTGTTGGAAGGATTTTAATACTCGAATCTTTTAATTGGAAATATTTGTAATCCTTTAAATGTTTAAAGGGAATAAATTATAATTCAAAATAAAATTTATTAAAAGAAGAAACGCCTATAAGTTTATTATAGAAATTTATTTATAAATAATAAATACAAGAGCTTTTTTTAATAGTATGATAAAATATTATAAGGATCTTATTAATCTGGATCATATCATAGCTTAATTATTATTTTGATTTTATTAAAAATTGTCCTGCAATTATTGTTTTATGCTCGATTAATTAAAATAGGGATTAACCAAATTCCACTGTGCCCCGCAACGTAAACATTCCGTTTTCCATTTCCTCACTCAAAATGACAGCGGAAGAAACGAGAGGCCACACGAGAGAAATTACTTCCAGGCCAGCGGAGAGAGATGACATGTCAAAATGCCCCACAGAGAGAAAGCCAGAGAGAGCAAGGGCATGCGCAGGATCCAATTCTCCACATTTGTTATGCGCCTGCGCCGAATTCTACAACCTTACACTCACCCACCGACTCTCCCACTTTTACAGTTAACAAGGAAGGTCGCGGGGCAACGGTCCGAATTTGCGTTTACACATTTTCAAAAGGCAATTCCAAAAACAAAGGGTTTCCCTCCCCACTCTATTTATTTTTTTCTGCTTTTCTTATTGTGATGGGATGTGGCATGTGGCAGGGTGGGTTCATTCGGTTCGGGTCGATTCTTTGTTTACCTTTCGCCGATTGCCCAAAGACCCCATCAAAGTGCCCCACAACTAGTAATGAACTTTGCTTGCCATTCCAAAGCCCCCAACCACACCACCACCGCCACCACCCATTTGTTTTGCCAGTTGCGGGTGGGTCAATGCTCTGCTCTGCAAGATTCCAGTGCAACTATTCCGCCCCACCCCCCGGGCAAATATTTTTCATGGTCAGCCCGTTTCCTTCCCGTCACTCTCGATGACCGCCAGTCAGCAGATTACGCCTCACCTGCCCCATATAGGCGGTGTCAGCGGTCTCTGAAGGGGTTTTCAGGTATTTATTGTTTATTTTTATTGATCTCTTGGCCGGAACGAAGTCACAGATTGTTGTTTAAATTATATTATTTGAAAATGCAATAAATTCGCCATGTGCTTGGGCCATAAAACATTTATATTAAGAACTAAATGCATCATTTTAGCCAGAAAAAAAAGAAACCTAAACAAATAATGGGAGAATGCTTGGGGAAACCCGAGAATCTTGCAGATTGTTTACGAGAGCCGCAAAGTATCAACATTGACTGGGGTTTCGCAACCATGCCGTGCAGATCTCATAGATGAGTAATGAGTAAGATTTTGGTCTAGCCCCGAGAGGCTAGTCCCCTTAAAGTGTCTCTGAGAGGCGAGAGAAGAAAATAAAAAATAAAACAAAATAAACGTACAGTGCTTGACCGATATGTAGGATTACATTTATAAAAGATTTTCCACTGAATGCCAACTAGTCGTATAAGTAATAAAATATCACTCATCCGCCTAGTAGCCACTTGTGTCGGCATATTACTGATACGCACTGTAGGCACTGCCTTCACATGTATTTAAATGGTCTCGACAACGGACTGACAGGCTGGGCGAGCAGTCAGCGAGCGATCGAGTGGATAAAAATATACGAAATCGTCCCGGGCCGGGGGCAGGGCCGCGACATTAAAAAAGGGGGATACGAATTAGGGGGTCGAAGCAATGGTGGGGCGGTTGTCTAGCCAGACAAGCTGATCTTACCCGCCGATTCTTGTTCCTGAAGGGCTTGTAGGACTTGCCCTTGTGCTTGGCACCCAGATGCAGTTTCTTCATGGCGGCGACTTAGCTCAAGATATTTGGAATCACAAACGAAATAGGAACCGAACTTTTTGTTGTGCGTCTCGCGAGACTAAATTATGCAATCATTTTTGGAATCGTTTTGGTGCGGTCGCACAGCAAAATAAACAAACCACTCAGCCGTTATGGCCACTAATCGTAAAATGTGGTCAACACCTCGAATTGGGTCACCGTTTGTGTCAGCAGATTCCGACTCGGGCTCCGGCACATGACAGCGATTTGTGAAACACGAAAAACACCATTACCGAATGCTGGAAAATGTGCACAAATATCGGAGCTATATGGACGGATCTATATGCGTTATCCACTTGGCCAGAGCGATGTGGAGCAGATCAGACCGGATCACTGGGGAGGAAACCAAGAAAGCCGACCAACCGACCGCACTAGAAAACAATTTCGACTGACAATATTTTTGGCACCCGCGCCGCATCCCATTGACAAAAATGCCTGAGAGAGCGGAGAGCGGCGATCGGAAAATGGGGAAAACTCAAGAGGTGAAATGCTCGGGAAATGGCTTTCAATAATCTGTTTAATTGCGTATGCAGTGGAAATAGCATAGCAGATGACAAGTCATATGAAAATGTCCCCATATTGTTTCAAGTTTAAAAGAAAAGATAAAAGTTTTGTTTTTTTTTTTAATATTCACTTTATTTTCGGTGGAAGTGTCCGTACAAATTTAGGTTCATGAAGGTCTAGTGCATCCTAGTACTTAGTACTGCTGATCTTGGATTCCCTGAGTCAAGCCACGGAGGCCATCGATAAGAGCCGCTCGGGCAATCCTCTCCTGGTATTGCTCCACTTGCTGGTGGTTGGGGTATCCCACATAGAAGGGAATGTGTTCCGTGTAGGCTCCAGCGGATCCATAGGAAGCAGCCTCCTGGGCACAGGGAGCGGGCACCAGATTGGGTTGGCAGCTGAACAGATAGTTCTTGGGGCAGGGAGGAGCTGTGATGCCACCCGAGGAGTACGGGCAGGAAGCGCCGGCAAGGGCCACACAGACAGCCACGATCAAAGCAATGAAGTGCATATTGAATATTGGTTTTCAGAACTACCTCTTGACACCCACAGAGAGCCACTCTTATAGGGTGAGTTCTTGGGCCTAAAATGAAAGTGTGGCGTTTTTCACACGCTTCCAAAAACTGCAAGCTCAGTAAACTACATAGGTGACAGATTTTTGTTGTTAAATTAATTACGAATCTAGGTTGCGAATAACGGCTCCACAGTGTCTTTCAATTTTCACACAAAACAATTAAATAATTGGACAGAAATTCACTGGTCTCAGCATTATTTTGACCCATAACTTAAAAAAGACTGTGATTTTTGTAGTGTTACAATTATTTTTAGTTAAAACATGATGTTAAAAAATTGGTCTTCAGATAATAATTTTTCCCCACTATCCTTGTAGATAGTAAAATATGTGGTAAATAAATAAAAATAACCCGAATTAATAAATTTATTATAACTTCTTTTGATTCCCATTGATTTTACACAAATTTTACACGAACCTCGATCTGCTAGCCTGGACACAAACCACACATTGAAAGATTTGGTGCCTTTTAGTATTTTTGTGTATTTATTAATGCAAGCCCTTATTTATTTAATTTGCAATTATTTTATTAGGTACTTCTCATTAAAAAAACCTTAATTACTTTATTAACATTTCATAAAAGTGATTTATGTATTTAAAAGATTGATTTATTAATCATAAACGGACTAAAAGGACATAAAGGACCTGGTAGGAAAACTGGTTTTTGCTTTTATTTTGTATTTATGATTTTTAGAAACCATAAGTTGTCTTTGATGGGAAGCCAGTTATTATGGAAATTCTAATTGACCTAAAATATGCACTCGTAAATTGTGAAACAGAGTTCATAAAGTATTTCTAAATTGGTTGCATGCAAATATCATTTTATTTAAATTTCCAGGAACGATTCCTAAGCTTTATTACCTCGACGGAAATCGACAGTAATTGGCTTTAATAGTCGGACTGGCGAATTATGTTTTAAGAAATATATTCAAATTGAATTCAGAATGGATTGGTATTGGTATATTATTGGAAGTAATTGGCCAGGTCTATCAAGAATAAAGCTAAACAATATAAATCGAATTGGAATACCCTTCTTTTTTTGAATCTAACTTTGGCCTCGGGTAACTTCCCCCCTAAATCACTCATGAGGAGGAGAGGTAAACTTTAATTTGAGAAGGGATCGCGATCTCTGGATTGGAACGGGCAATTACGCACATGCACCACATATCACAGGCCACATACACACATGGGTACGACGATGATCCATCCAACGAGTGCGAGAGTATCGGACCTAAATTTTAATCATAGGGTTCGTGGCGATCGCCTGCCGCTGGCCTTCAAAGTGGGGCATCTTTTCGGAGTGACTCGAAAGTTGGTAGGAGAGTCGAGCCGTTTTGATTGCTCCCTAACGGTAAACAAATAGTTGGCCAATGTGCGTGTGTGTGTGTGAGTGGTCCAGACATGGCCCGAAGATATACATCTTAACTGGAACTCCAATTGAAGATGCACTCGCAAGGGATCAATATAAAAAGATATTTTCAAATTCTTTAATGAACTTTTTTTTTCATTTGGCCTTGGGATATATAATAATAAAAGCTTATTTTACTTCATTGGATGATCAATGAATATTAAAACTTCATCTTGCAGAGTTTCTTTTTTTTCTTTGCTTTACTTTTGGCCTTTCTGGCCTGATTGTCCGATTTTTTGTTAGACAATGCCCAGCGATCCGCTGGAGAAGTTAATAGGGCTTGGCTCGAGCCACCTGCCTGGGCTTACGATTAGACGGCCGGCTAAGACTGACCCAGCTGCTCCTTGACTTTAGGTCCTGCGGCTCAGAAGGAGGATCCAAAGCAAGCCAAACACAACCTATACAGATGAAGTCCAAGGGCAAAAAACAGACAAGCCAATAACATGTCTCGGTACTTAGCGGAAGGTCCGGCGCCGGATCCTCCAGGGTCCTGATGGTCCTATGAACAATATCCTTTTGTTCTGGCACTGAAGAAATAAACTGGGTCCCATCCTCAGGGACTTCAAAACTTAAAAGAGGTCTTGCTTGTATTATTTTTTCCAGTGTCTGTCTTCTCCAGTCGATGCCTTCCCTCTAACATATTTTATGGCATCTAATTAGATCAGCAAGGATCCTGCAGCCAGGACCCAGAAGCCAGGCACGAACCCAAAGTGTTTCTGGTAATTTAAGACTCTGTTCTGGCAGCAGGTCGTCAATTATAACGTAGCCGTGGGTTGGATTTGGCCACGGGATCCTCCACTTGCGAATGTTGACGAAATGCCGAGCTTTGTTTTAAATTAAATTTAATTAGCAGCAGCTCTGGCCAGGAACACCTTTTGGCCGAGGAAGCGCGTCTGTATAATTCATGCCTCCGGAACATGGCACGTGTCTCGTATTTTGGCCGAAAACCAGCAGCTGCTAAGGCCACAACACTCGAAAAAACAAGGCCTAAACCCACTGGAGGGGAGTGGGGGAGATTTGTGTGCAACCAGCGCTAACAATGCCGTTGTAAGTGGCCCATTAACACCGTGTCAACCGCCATGCAACAGCAATTTCCGTCACCATTGCCGTTTATCGATTTTCAAATTCCATTCAGGGCGCGAGTGGCGAAGGGAACGGGAAACAGGATTACAAGGATACAGAGGCATTCAATTCGATTAATGATGCCAACGAGAGGCGGATGCACACTGGCGACGGTTGTTCTAAACAAGGATATTGGGGTTAGCCCACTTGTGGGTCATAGATACAGTTGGGGGATTTCTATTGAAATTCTGGCTTGTAATATCCTACCTTTCGGTTCCGCAATTCTCACGGCTTACAAAAGTGTCAACTGCAGAAACGATTTGAGTTTGAAAACTCAAATTAGTTTCTTGTGGCGCTGGACCAATCTTCTAGGATCAGTTTGGAGTCTCTTGGCCAGCTCTCATCTGAAATGGAAAAAAGGAGAAAAAGACATTAAGTAACCAAAACAGGAAATTGCAAAATAAAAGCAAGAAAATTTTATATTTTATGTACATTCTTCGGGTTTTGCAATGAGAATTTCAAAGTCAAGGTTAAATGAAACATTTGCCTGATACTTTTTTCTGGTTTGTCTCCGTTTCGTTGCCTTCGTCTTTTTCGGGATCGCTTCTTTCCCACTATCCGCGGGCAGTGCAAGTGCTTTTCGAGGTACGGATACAGATACATTTGTATCTGTGTGCGGTGTGTCGGGTCTAACAGCTACGCATGCGCACTGCGCAGTTTGCACTGTTGGAAGTTGTTGTTTTGGTGCTTTAGTCCGTCTGTCTGTCTGTCTTTCTGTCTTTCTTATGGTCTGTCTGTCTCTCTGCCTGATTCCAGTCTGCCAGACTATGGAAACAACAGCAACAATAACAACAACAGGATACCGTATCCGCCGGCAGACGTCGCCACTTTCTGGTACACTTGATCAAGTCCAAGTACAGAGCAGCCCCGGGAATTCTTTTCAATGTGTCTGCATATCACTGGGAACAATTTTTGAGGGTATTTGATATTTTTAAAATACAAGCTTCATAAAACAACAGCAATCACAATTTTTAATCCTTATAGGCTATAATCATGTAATGTATTATGCTATAATGCTCCACTCCCTAATAAATATCACTTGTTGACCAGTGCTGTCTTGGAATTCGCTTTTTTACCAAACTCCCAAATAAAAATAAACCAAAAATACATTTTGGGAATAAAGTAGGGACAGATAAGGCCAAAAAACAAAAGTAAAAGGATGCAACTTGTACGATGTGGCAGACAAGTCCCAGACATGTACAAATGCCTGCCATTAGAGGCTGTTGCAGACTTTCGTTTCTCATTTTTTTTTTTTTTTGGCAATTGCACTAGGGCTGTCACCTGCAGAATAAAGTCGAGTTCATTAACCTGCCACACCCCACACCCCACCCACAACACTAATACCTTCTCATTACGCCAAATTCTTGTAAAGAGCCATGACTCGCCGAAAACCCCGACTTTCGAGCAGAGCCTTCCAAATGCAAAAGCTGTCGAAATCGATCAGCCTTGATGAGGGTCAAAAGTATATATAATACAAATGAATATAAAGGTACAGAGCTCAAGGTACTGGACTTTAAAGCCTTTATTACATTAAAAAGGATTACTTTTCGCTTTATACGGGTGAAGTTAGTTAAGGATTTAATTAGATTATTAAAGTCAGTTACGATTTTGACTTAACAAAGGGTTATTTAGATATTTAACTATGTTTTATTGCAAAAGTGGAGTTTAAATTACTATTTCGTTTTTAAACAAACATGGCAGTAAAATAATAAAATTCATTTAAATTACTTGGCAAATGACAAGACAGAAGAGTCTTCAGGGACTGCTCTCCTTCACAGATCCGAGATCTCCCTTTTTCAATTCACTTTACCAGAGTTCTCTGCAATTAAAGTTTTAGGGTCCAGGTCCACACCCAACCTTAGCTGCCAAGAAAGCTTCACTGACCATTCAGGGGATATGACGGGCCTGTGGGATGGATGGATTCGGTCAAAAAATATTTCCGCTGCCTTCGTGGTCGTTCCTGCATGTTAAGTGCGCTTTATATTAATTTTATAATTCATAATTGCATCATGTTGCGCAAATTTCTGAGCCAAAACGCAATGGAATTTAATTAAGTTAGCCCTGCAGGTGCCGACCATCCTTTGTGTGCAGTTTTTATTCCAATTTTTTGTATTTTTTGGAGGCCTCAGGTACTCGACTTGAATTCTGATTAGTCATGGCCATCAAAAGGAACAAAAATCTTTCGTTTGATGTTCATGTTTTCCATCGTTTAGTTTAAAGATCTTAAAGATGAACATATAACTTAGTTGCCTGCTTTGTAAATTGAAAAATAGCTGCGTTTTATGACCCACATTTTAAGACAATCTAATAGAATTTTGGCCAAAAACAAATCAAGTTAACCTTGGGATCCTGACGCTCCCCCCCAACTGGCTTCCTGGCGAGAGTTTATGGCCAAAATGGTGGCTGGCATGTAAACATAACACTAACCCAAGAAAGGTGCAGCAGAAGAGAAGGAGAAGTCGGAGCAGGAGCAGGAGTATGAAGGCATGGCCACAGGCATCGTCCGCCATCGCATGCTGAGTCAGATGGGAGTGCACTCTGGCGGAGTTGGAGGATGGATGGACGTGGATGCTTGCACTTATTAATGCTTAATAAATGGCATTTCATTTCTTATTATTCCCGGACTCGGGACGAAACGTGTTGGTGGATTTTATTGCACAGACCCTGCTGCAGTTGTTGTCGTTGGTTAATGCGAGTCGATATATTGGCCATGACTAAGGATGCGGATGCACGAAGGGGCACAGAGCCACATCCCAACCAAGCTCGAGTCCGAGTCGGAGTCAGAGCCAGAGTCAGAGCTGTGCGCTAAAGTAATTATTTCATTTGAGCCAACAATGAGGCTGCAACTCTGACTCTGACTCGCGGCCAGATTCGCGGCGATGGAGATGGAGATGGATGATTGACGAGTGGAAATTAAAGAAGCTGGCGGCTGGAACTGTCCAGTCCAGTTCCAGTACTAAAGCCCAAAGTCCCTAGTAGGGTCTTTTAACGATATGCGTTCGCTTTTAAAGTACTTGGAATGTAAATGAAGCGGGTGCATCTCGCTGCCCAACTCCATCTCCAGCTTGAGATCCATTTGGCCAGTTTCGAGGTCAACGCAATGGTCGTTGCACCCACGCACTATATTCCAGACACCTGAAAGCTCTTATGTCGATTTTATATGCAAATTCATTATTTTCTTTTTATTTTAGATAATTTCCAAGGCCTAGCAGTATGAAAAACCTAGACTCTGTACCATACTCTACAAAAACTTAGTACTTGGACATATTGGAGACCTAATATTATGAAAAGCTGTTAAAGATTAATTAGAAAATTATGTAATAAACCATTTTCAAGCTCTATTTTTTAAAAACTAAAAACTTTCCTCCAATAAATTTTCAAATACCGCGGTTTTCCACCTATCGGTCTATCGACATGCGCAATCCGCTTGGTAGTTTTTAGTATTTTTTATTGTGGTGTGACCACAATACAAAAAATCGATATACGATACCTGAAAAAATACTAATATTTGCGGGAAAATCGATACAAATAATTGTTTTACACAAGCCGCTAATTTTTGCCAGAAAATTAAAGCAGTTTAAATAAATAAACAAAGTAAAAGATTCATAAAAGTTTTATAGGAAAAGTAGCTCTTGCTACCAGCGTTTAAACTTCACAGTTTCCTTTGCGTCCCGACTCACAGGATACACTTAAAATGCAGCAATCCAATTCTGTGCCGCCGGGCGGCGATAATTTGTTGCCGCTGAAAGCCTGCAGCACCGCCGGCTGCAAGGTGGCCAACGTGGTGGACAAGGCCAAAAGGAAGTGCTCCCAGTTCGTGACGGCCCCATACATTATGTCCAAGCCACTGGTTGTCAATGGCCACACATCGATCTTTCAAGTCAGCGGCGAGATGGCAAAGATGGGCGACATTCCGGACCTTTCCGGCGGTGTACCTGGTGAACTGCCCATCTATCGAATTAAGCCAGGAACCCATGCCCACGTAATCAACTATGTCCTGGTCGACGAGGGATCCGATTCACTGGAGAAAGCTAAATCGGGCGACCAGGAGGCCATGCGCCTGCTGCTGGAATCACAGCGGGAGAGCGCCATCGCTAAGCTGCAGAAGCTGATAGGCAGCCACCGTGGCGCAAACTCCACTGGGACAAGCACAGGGCCCATTACAACGCGACCTGGATCCTCTACTGGAGTGGGTACTTCCGCTCAGGCCCAAGCTTCCTTGGTCCCCACCAGCAGCAATGTGACTACGCCTCAAATTCATCCAGACTTCTCGATTGCCAGCGTCGAGGGTGCCGTGAATTTCGGCTCCGGCATGTCGACAGCTGCTCCACCACCCCTACTTTCTATACCCGCCACTGCCGCCGTATCAACTGGAACTGGCAACGCGCTATCCGCGACCGAGGTGGACCGTCTGCAGGCGGAGATTATGGAGCTGCGGCGCACGGTGGCTTCGTTGAAAGAGGGTGGTCGTTAGCAACTAGCTTTTATAAATTATTTAATTCTGATGTAAAGAAAATCATTCTTTAAAAACGAAATATTATATTTTCATTATTTTGAAAACTGTAAAAGAAACAAATGCATCATTTGACAAAAAAAACTAATTTGGCTAAAATTTATGCTAGCCATTAGATTTTAGATATTAAAAGTACTTCATAGACACAATAAAGAAGTTCTGCAAAACAATTATAAGACGCATACAGTTCCTTGGGCAACCTTGGGCATATCAGTAGCAAATATGATATTAATGTCGGCCAGACAAGCTGCTCAAAGCAGGAGTTGCCGAACAGCAGACGGCCTGCTGCAAACATCAAGATGTGCGGTCGTCCGCTACGATCCCAGTTTTCGATTCCTGGAAAGGTTTCGCTTTCCCCCTCCTCGCAAGAGGGGATATCACAAGGGTTTTAACAACCAAATGGCCAATATTCTGCAATGGCGGTTATTCTCGGTGTTAGTCCTAAAGTTAGGCAACTAGTACGCCGGCCGAGTGAGCAACTTTGAAAGATTGCGCAAGGAGAACGAGAACCCAAAACCCAGCCCCAAACACTGGAGTCGAGCCCTGGAGCCGTAATTTTTCGAAGTGAACATTTTTATGTTGGTCGCGGCACGAAAAGACAAGAACTGAGTCGAGTCTTAAAGGGGCCGTAAATGTGGCATTTTATGTGTCATCAATGGAGGCACTGGCGGTGGCGGCGGCGGTGTCAGCGGCGCTCTCGATCCGAGCGCGAAAACCTCGCAATCGAACGTAAATTAAATTTTATGGGTTGCAAATACACAGAGCCTGCCCCGGCTCAGCCATCAACTTATCCAAAAAAAGAAAAGCCTGCCACATGAAAGGTGACCTAAAAGAAGGTCCACCAAGGGATGGGGTTCCTTTTTGCAGAAAGCATTGGCTAATTGAAAGTAATTCTTCGGTAACTAAGGGTAGATTATATAGGAGGACTACTCTTAATCTTTAGAAATATAACATTCATCTCGAAAAACCTCTTTTAAAATCCAAATTATAATCCAATAAAATCTGTATTGAAATTCTTTAGATGTTGACCACCAATCCCGCGCTGCTGGATAAGTAAACATCCGAAATTTATGTGTTTGTATAGGTGGTCAGCAGGTACAGGGCCAACTACTTAGCCGGCCGAGATCAGGACACAATTGTGGGGACACGACGGCCGAATCAAATTCGATACGCCAGCAAAGGTCCGAGCAAAGTGATCCTCGCCGGGGATGTATAAAAAGTAACGAATGTGCGCAATAATAAAAATCATTAAAATAAAAATGTTTATGAGAAGGCATAAACACGGCTTTATGGAGGGAGCAGAGTTAAGGGGGCGCAGGAGTAGCGCGGGGATCAGGTAAGGAGTTGGAGCTGGAGTTGGGGTTGGGGCACTTGATGGCGGTGGCCGTGGCAGAGTCAGAGTGTCAATGGGCATTTGTTTCGGGGAGCGAAGGGTTCCACACCAACACACCGCCACAAGCACACACGGGGACACACACTGGACACACCAGGTACTCGCGATCGGGATGCTAACTCATTTTGGCGGCGGCTTCTGCTGGATGGAGCCGGGCTTGAAGCTTCAGGAGATCGGGCCGAAGCGGAGGAGCAGGCGCAGGCGCTCGGCTCAAAAATAATTTGCAATTTCTTGGAAATACTCACTTCTGCGCTGCCTGCGCCTGCGCGGACTCTGCTGCTGTCGTCGCAGGCGCAGCTTCTCAAGAATCTTTAGTGGTTATAGTGGGGAGCTGTCAAGGGGGAGGGTAAGGTACACTAAAGAAAAAAAAGAGTGAGATTGTCCTAATCCATCTTCGTGTATATCTTACCCATATATCCATTACTTACCCATATACCCCATAGATAGATATATTTTTCAGATACTCTCTTGAGCTATGCACCCAAAATTTTCTCTCAGTGCAAATCCGGATAAGTCAAGGTGCCCGTAATGAAAATTAAAATACGAAACACTCAGCCAAAGGTCGGCCGGGAGAGCCAGGAGCCAATGAGCGGGTACAGGGTGTCCCCTGACGGACCTGCCCCCCCATCCTACCGATCCTGGCCTGACTGAGTACCCCTCCCCTGGCCCCCTGGCCCATTCTTGTGGTGAGTCGCTCGGTCGGATTGCTTGTCGTTATCTTGTCATGTCAAAATGGTCTTACGAAAATGTATCTTTTGTATTCCAAGTGCAAATGAGCAGCACAGATACAAAACAACGTGCTGACCAGCGTCGGCCCCACTGCTCCCGCCCCGCCCCCCGCCCCCGCACATCCTTTTGGCCTCTTAGTGGTCAGCATTTTGTATCTCGCGACTCTTTATTTTTTTGTTGTATTTTGCACTATCCCTCGATTTTTATTTGTTTTGCTCACTCGCAATTTTTATGCCTTTATTGTGTTTACTTTCTGGCTTCGCTGCTGCCCGGTCCCTGGGCTGCAAATGCTTTTAAGACTTTAAGACTTTTTAGTTTGTAGTTGAGCGTACAAATTCGCATCCCAGGAGCAGGAACAGGATCGCTGGCCAGTCTCTGTGTATGTGCGCGTGTGTATCTGTATCTTGGGAGCCGGTGGAGCCGAGATGCTGATGATGACACAACATGAAAAGGTAAAACACGCTGAAAAATATTAAATACGCTACGTCGCTGCCTCTTGACAGCGGACGTAAATTTGCTTTTGCCTCCGCTCCTTGCACCGTGGACCCCTGCCCTGTCTCACCCCCAGCCCCCGCCCGGGGACTGTTTAATTGCACATGAGATCGGCGGAACCCGGCGACTTGGGTTAAGAAAGCGTCTCTGGCTCAGATCTGGCGGCAATTAAAATAGAGTGTAAGTTAAGGATGCATAAAACGCTCATCTTTATGGAAGGCCTATATTGTCATTCTCCTCCGCCTCCCCGCTCTCTCCTCCGGTGGGATGTAATGGCCCGATTTGCCGAAGGCCATAATGCATAGTTGGGGTTCAGGGAATTTAGATTAAAAGATAAGTACCTGATTGCTGCAACTATAAGGATTCTAGACTTTGAAAGATTCCTAGAAAAATTATGGATCCTGGGATACCTTTATTTGAGAGACTTACTCTTCCTCCGTAACGCCGAAAAAATGTTTCAAAATTTGAAATGTGTCAAAATTTTGGGGCAAAATAAATGAAGTTAATTAAATTTTGAATGTGCGACCCGGCATGAGGGGGCATGTGGAGTCGAAAATAACAAATCTTGCATATCGCCGCCTTCACACAGTCTTAAGCCAGAATAACAAAAGCAAAACATCACATGCCGACAATATTAGACATATAACTTGCTCTCATTTCCCACAATTGCCAAAATCTGTATCGAGATGGAGTCAGCAGTACACTGAGAAAATTAAACATTACCTAACTAAAAAGACTCTAAGCTTTAGCTTGCAATTTTGAAAATGATTTCTTGGAGTGCTTTTTTATTGGACTGGAGGGGATCGTTTCCTGCAGTGCCCCACAAAAGGAAGCCACAGCATGAGGAGAATAACAACAGCAGCCTCCAGACCCGAGACCCCAGACCCGAGACACCAGACTCCGTCCGGCATCTTCGCCTTCGTCCTACCACATTCTAAGTTCTATTGGCACAAAGACCGAGTTTTGCTTTGCGGTTCTTCGCTTTGACTTTTCCCAGGCCACGTATCGGTATCTGTGTGTCGGTGCAGATGTATCTGTTAGATACCCACCGCATACAGATGCACCGGCTATGCCGGCAGCGAAACTCGTTTTCCGATCTGGGACCGGGGACAGTGCTGATAGGACCACGGTTTCCCTTCCATCGAAAGCCCTGCCTCCGCCCCGCCGCGGGTGGAGCCATCACTTGTGTAGCGCCTTCAGTCGGCATAGTTTGCATTTTCAAGGTCGATCTGCCTCCACTCGTGGCGCTGATTTCTTCTGCAGAATTTCGCCATGCGAGGTATACCAAGCATGTATCTCGGCCATATATCTCATGTGGTCTAACGAGCGCGACTTGATGTTGCAATCTGGTGCCAAGTAATCTCTACTTCTGTGCTCATTGCAGTTGAAATTTGTTCAGACATTTACTCTGCTGATGTCTGTGGCTCCGGCAAATGAAATAAAAAATCTTTTTTATTATTGCACTTCGCCCCCTCTGGCCATCCCAATGAAATCCCTGAGATATGCTCAATCCCAGCATCGGGCTTGGGTTGCGCCAAGCGGAGCTTTCTCATGCCCCTGCATGGTGCAACATTTCGCGCTGCAGGCACTCTGCTCCACCTCCTGCTCCTGCTTGTGCTTCTGCCTCTGGATGTTTCCTGTTTACCGATGCGATGCCCTGGCTGACTCATTGGCGTTGAATGCCCGGGAACAGGCTGCCAATTCGGTGGCAGTGCTTCCTTTTTTTCGTTTGCTGCCATTTTAATTTGCTACACAGCCAGAATAAGAGATAATCTTGCATCCTACGGATTATATAAAAACAATTGGGGTCTTGGGCAAGTTTTTCTCTCTGCAAACTATTCAAGAGTTGTGGTAACTTCCTTTGGCATTACTCATGCATTTCATTGGAAAACTTTGGTGAGTTATTCGGGCCAAAAACTGGAAAATTGGCAGTAAAATATGAGCCAGAAATTGCAAAGGTAGATTTGAAAAGTTTGAATCATATGTGGCATTGGTTTCCTTCTTCCACGAAATCCAATTACAAACAATTGCTGATATCTTTTTGCATCTCAACCTTCAGAAACACTTACCACATGTTTTTTAGCAAACTATGGGAATTACAGAGAATTTTGATGGCCCAGAATCCTTTTCATTTCTGACCAATTAGAGCACTTGCTCGCATTCAGAACAATTCGCTCACAGTTGAATACACCTAATGCTGATGATGGCAGGACGCACGTCCGAGGATACGTGGCGAACAAAAGGACACCAGCAGACGGCCGAACAATTGCATTTCCCAGAACTGAAAGGGGCAAGGTACAGGGGCGGGAGCAACAGTGTCCTGGTTGCAACTATCTTGAGTGCGAAATCACGTTCGGAAAATGCGATATGTGGCATAATTGGACTATCCGACGATCCGAAGACCTAGACACCTGCTGATTAGATTCCCGAATACAAGAAACACGATCAATTGTCCAAATCCTTTCTCATTCTAGGAAATCCCCCTCCTTGGCAACGCAGAATCTGGTTCCATTTGAGGTGTCCAGTGCAATGAACTTTCCAAGCCGAGTAGAAATT